ATTGATTTTAAAGAGAAATAGATGTAATGAAAAACTAACCAATTACCTGTCATCAAATAAAATGTTAATGTTGGGTGTGTTCAGAAGATAATAATGGATCGATCATCTAGTGGTAATATTCACGAAAACAAAACCAACTTTCCATAACTTGGATCTATGGATTATTAGCTAACTTGATAATTTGTTATTCTTATTTCACCTAAAATATGTTCTTAAAAAAGCATCTCTTGGCAAACTCATTGATGTATCAAACTAGATAATTACTTCATATTCATGGAATAGTGGAAACGTCGCTTAGAGTTAATTTTTGTGAATAATGTCTGGAGTATACTCACAGCCTTCTCGCGGCACTACTGTTGTTTACGAAATTGAGAGAACGAAAATTGAATGTATGGCGCTTTAACTGCTTTGGTGGACACGGAGGGTTCACCTAGGGAAGTTGGAAAGCCCTCATTCTAAACCAATGGTGCACATCAGCTCCAGTATCCTGAGAGAACAAATGGCGTATGAACGAACTGTTCGTCACCTGCTACCATGAGACTTCATCTCGTGACATTGCTCCACTGCCTTGTGGATCAGATCTTTAGGTAGAAAGCTCGGGGTGTGGCCACCTAAGAAAACCACCTGCTTCGGTTTGGGCACCCGGGCAGTATTCAAGCCCTCACACAAATCAAATGAGACATGTGTGGCGCATATGTATCTGATGCCCCTTTGTACCAATATTTATGTGTTTAAATAAATGTCTTTAAACTGGTTTCTATTGTCATTAGTTCCTGAAATTATACTAATCAATTAAATTTCATCTGCGTCAGACGAATTGACATTGGATACAAAAACTGTACGTTAGAAAGTATTTAGTGACCTCAATGCCGGTGTTACTACATGTATTCATGAATGACAAAAAAAACTCTTAACTTCTACTTAAATACAAATGAAATATGCTTCATAAGAAAGGAAGTACATGGAGAAATTTTCGACTTGCTCAGATTCTTCATCTATGAAGATAGGTGAATGAAGTATTGATTAGTAGTAGTATAGTTAACTATATAAAATTTCACAAAAGAGTGATAGACTCAAAGATTTCTCCAAGTACTTGGTGTTTACGAAGAATATTTTGACCCTATAATAGAAAGAGTTAATGTGCATGTAACCAATCAACTAAGCTGCAATGCGGCTACTGGTCTATGCAACTTGACATTGAGTGCACTATGTCTTAAAGTCAGAAAGGCAAAAGAAGAATCAGTTTCCTCAAGATTTGAGTGAGTGTCAACTATTTGGAAATTTAAGTCCAGGACTTTTATCGATTGCTTTCAACTACCGAACATCAAATTAACAAAGTCCTACTTATCAAACTAGATCAGGGTTTGAGTGTTTTCATAATCAGTTCAAAATGTTTAATTGCCAGAAATTTTCAAGTTGATGGAATTTAAAAGTATATCGTTAGGGCAATCATAATCACAATTAACAAACAACTCTAGGATCTTTTGAGGAATCTCAGGGTACCATATGACTCCTTTCAGTTTTGCAGTATCTTCATAAAGTATTTGTTATATCCCGTGGATGTTTATGAATGGTAACTTTGAGAACTATTTATGGACCAATATGATATGTATATTTCCTATTGTATAATCTTTAAGTAACTAAAGCATCCATATTCGTGTCCCTCTTATTATAAGCTTTATTTTGACCTATAGACTACTATTATACGATTTGCCATTCCTGAGTTATCCTCAGTCCATTGATTACTGTAACCCCTATTCACAGTCACATTTAGCTGTATCTTGTACAAATATTATTTTCTATTTTATGGTACGATATGGTCTGTTCGGTTAGTATATGAACCCTGTATGCTTGCGAATAATGATTCATATTGCAGAAGCCGTTATTGGTGTTCTGGAACTAACTGGCTGAGCTAGGCAGAAAGCAGGACTGAAAAGTACTCAAGACTGCTCAAACGGATATAGTGTATCATTGGATCCGATCGATTAAAATCACTCCTCTTTAATTGGCCGTCTTATCACGTTCATATATTTAACAGGACACTAAAGCAATCGATATAACAGTATTCACAAAGCAGGTATCCTCTCAAGTCCTACAATATCAAAGATAAGTTCAATCCACCACAAAATGTCTCAGTCGTTAGACAATATTTTGAAACAACTTTTTTAAGGATCATATCCTTCGAACATATCAGATAAGTTCATAACATCATTTGATGTTTGTGAATTATTTACAAGGAAACACATAGAATATTCGATCAGTATAATTTATCAATAATCTGAATTAATTTCTCTGCTCCAAAATTGATTTTAAAAACTATAACTTCCATTTAAGCTTAGAAACTAAGTTCTGTAACAGACCTATCAAGCGGCAACAAGAATAAACATAAAAATTCATCTCAGCTGACGTGTTCATAAATAATCTCGAGAAAAAACAAACTAAGAATACAAAGTACTTTAGTAGGGATGTCCATGATTTCTTTATTATTTGTTTTAAAAGTAGGATGGTGAATGAACACTAATGGGGAGTCCCATACTAGGATGAAATGACCGTCCAATGCTTCTAGGCTTTCAATGGTGGTCTAACTTAGATTGACTCGTGAATTGAACCTTGAAAATACGACAATCTCCATTCTCATAATAATCATGTAGACCCTAGTGACTAGCTCCATGATGAATTTCATACAGTTCTAGTGAGAATTCATGATTATTGAAGTTTAATCCGTGTTGAATGTAAGGCAGTTACCCACCAAAGACAATGAATGAACTGTTACGCATGATTATGGATCCATTGAAGTTATAGAGGTTAATTGTTCGCTTACTTGACTGAATGTCTTATGTTCGCGTTTCGTGTGTGGTTTTGTGAATATGTATTATTGAGGAGTCCCATACAGGGAGGAATCTGTCATTCATTATTTCGAGGTATTCCTTTGTGTTTTAGCTTATATTGGCTGATGAATTGAACTTTGAAAATACGACTATCTCCACAAATCCCCATATTTATAAGAATGTTGTTTGTTTTTCAAATACTATCAGTTGGATGATGTTCATTCAAACATCATAATTAAAATTTATTATCAAAATGAAATTTAATTCAATTAGTCACATCTTAGCATAAGAACAAACAATGATAGAAGGGGTTGAAAGTATTATATTCTTAAAATGCTCTCGGTTGCAAAAGTTGTTTATCATCAATACCATATACATCCAATAGTTTTAAAAACACAATCAATAAACGTAGAAATGATGAAAAAGTATTCCAAAAATGGCAAAATTACCTTCATTTATTAAGAATACCTGGAAGCACTGGACGGCCGTTTCGTCCTATTGTGGGACTCCTCAGCAAAGTGCATCCACGATCCCTTCTCGCGTGAGTCGAACCCAGGACCTATCAGTCTCACTCGAAAGCGCTTGACCACTAGACCACTGAGCCGTCATCCGATGGTGTTAATGTCTAACTTCAACCAATCTATGAAGTTGAGCAACCGTTCACCAATTATTTCTAGTGAGTTCCTATCTCATAACAGACGTGGTTTGAATGGTGACACAATAGGACAAAACGGCCGTCCAGTGCTTCCAGGTTTTCCTTGGTGATCTAGCTTCATTTGACTCATGCTTTCAACTATGAAAATACTAAATCTCCACTAAAACCCCTTCTGATATTAAGAATACATCTAGATTCTATTCATAGGAGAGATATCATGAAGAATTAGTAGCATAGTTAAGATATCAGTTAAAGTAGTTTCAACTTATATCAAGAAATCCTCGTTAAATTAGTTGAATGAGATCCGTATCCGATTGAGGTTAATGCCTATTGAATTAAGAAAGTTACAATGTATATTTGGAAGCAAGTACACAGGAACCGTTGATGGAATTGGCTTTTACAAATGTTTTCTCAGAATATCTGAAGTTTTAAATGAATCACTTAGTAAAAAATGAACACGAAGTGAGTATTTTAGAAGCTTCCAATACAACTACTACACAATGAATGTTATTTTCCTTTATAAAAAATGTCTAGAAACAATACAATTTACTAGATGATTCCAGAATCTCTTCCAGGCTATGCATGAACTTGACAGAAACATATAACATTGTTATGAAGTTATAAGTCAGACTTGTCGTATGTTAACCAGTGCTGTTACCTGACTGTTGAAAACATGGAAAACATTTCATGAGTTAGAAGTTTAGTATCTAGTGATTAAACTCTTTGATTTACGATTTAATACTGAAATGTGATGAAAAGAATTGTTATATTATGTGTCTGTTTGTTGTCTATATGATTCAAAAGTTCCAACTTTAGAAGTGGATTGTTTTCACATTACTTGGTCGTATTGTAATGAACGAGAAGTCAGGTGGGGACAACCTACGTATTCTGGTATAACATTACAGAATATCTTGGTAAAATATGAGAACCATATATTGAATACTTCATTCGCAAAATTTCATCATTTGTCCTTCATATTGTGTTTGATTCTTCCAAGTCACAGTTCATTTCTATTTTCCCTTCTATTCTCTTCAACTCGATCTTCTTAGCCTTCTGTTGTCATACATCCCTCTTCCAATTGATATCACATAATACTTATGTCAACAAACATAAGTAGCATACACCACAGTATTTATGTGAAATCAAACTAATGGTGTAAAAACTCACAAAAGTAATTTTATAGTTAAAATCATGAGTCAATTGAAACTAGACTACCATGAAAAACCTGGAAGCACTGGACGGCGTTTTGTCCTATTGTGAGACTCCTCATCAGTGCTCATCCACAGTCCCCCCTTAGGGGGAGATTCTAACCCAGAATTTATCAGTCTCACGCGAGAGCGTTTAATCAGGTTTTCCATAATGGTCTAGCTTCAATTGAGTTATGATTTCAACTAATAAAATTACTGAAATCTCCACAAAAAACCCACAAAAGTATTATTAAAAGACAAGAAAATAAGTATACAACAGAGGAATATATAATCTTAAACACGATTTTCATATTCATTCATTGAACTAACCTTCTTTATCCAATGGTATTATATGTTTTACATTAAATAAACAATTATCCCAATCATTTTTGTATACATCGAATAAACTAGAAGGATTAGATTTATACTGTTGATGAATAAAATTTAGTTTATTGTTATATAATTTAGAAAAGTTGTCAATATCTTCAGTACTGATATCATCATCATCAACATCATTATCTTCTTCATCATCTAATAAAACCTTTTTTTTAGTTTGAAAATTAAAAAGATCTTTATGTTGCCAATGTTTAAATGTAACTTCAGTTTCTTGTAATAAGTCATGTACCATAAATGATGGTCGCTTACGTGACATTCAAGGAATTGTGTTGCTTTTTTATATAACAAAGAAGATAATTCAATGGTGATGATGACGATGATGCTGTTTAATTATAAAAATAAGGTTCTATTAATTTTTAATATATTAAAAAATATTTTCTTTTTCATAAAAGATCATTGAATAAGTTTCCATTTTTTTACTTCTCTCTTTCTCTTTCCCTCTCTCTCTTCATCTTAATTATGATTGGTTAATTAATAAATTACTAATTTACAAATGCATTGTTTTGATTGGTTACTTTTAAATGTTGCGCAAAATAGGTTGAGTTAAATGGAGAAAGGGGTGATAAGCTATTTGTAGTATAATTAAACGATTGATGATAGAATTCTTACGTATTTTTTAACAAAAAAAAAACAGGAGAAAAACGATTACCCTAGAGAATTTTTATAAATCAAAATGTCCCTAAATGTCGCACCCAAGTCGAAATGGTTGATGATTGATCAATTATTCATTAACCGATTGTGAATAACGAAAAAAAAATAATTTAATGATTATAAAATATAAACGTAAGTAACCTTAGTAACCACTATCCATCTTCTTTGTATTCATTATAGACTGATTCATCTCTGAACTTAATTTGTTAAAGAAAAATTATGTTAATAGCCATAAATTAAGTCGTTTCATATGTTCCATGATTATTTATATTCTATCATAACTCAATTAGTACTATTTGTGGTAGGTAAAACAAGAAAAAAGTTGTGTTGGCTCCATTGGTTGAATACAATTTAATTGACATGTACTGACACTACTAAGATAAAAAGTATAGACGAAGGTTCTATTTACAGTCTTGAAATAATTTGGGATTTGAACAAAGATGGTTGGTGGCTAGGAATGGAATCCAGGATGTATGTTTTGACTTTTTGGGACTCGTCAGCTGGATGTACCTGCATTCTAGATTTTATGTACACTATAGAACTCGAACCCAGTAGGATGAAAGGCGCGTCTTGGATTCCACTGTTAGCCACAATCAATCTCTGCTTATAATGCTTGTGAATTAAGGCAATATTGAAGCAGTACACACAGTATGCATATATGTCACTAAGAGACTGAACAATTGGAGTGCCAAACATCAATGGGAAGATTCAAATAAACAATACCAAGTGAATTTAATTTAAGATTTATTTTAAAAGAAATCATCAAATATGAATTAAACGTTTACATTTCACTTCATTCTCAGTTTGGTCTACAATAAGTATCATAGGCAAATTATAATTATAGTTATGTAACTTCTATTTCTTAAGATTGTGATATTGTGGTGTGGTCTACTTATATCTACATAAGTAGTACATGGTAATGGTCAGACATAGAATGTATTTTGGCAGAAGATCGATAATGAACGAACAGGAATGAAGCACAGTCGGTACGAAAATGCATGAACAATGAAATCAGAGATGACGGATTACATATTTGCAGAAGGAATAGTCAAGATTGAATCAACTGATCGTTATTTTGCAATTTAACTGTTTGCTGTATGGTTATCAGAATTTAGTGAGATAGTTTGTAATTTGTGCCTAAATACATTCAATTGTCCCCATCCGTGTTCTTCTTCGCTACAATATTTTCAAACTGATTCAGCCGTAATCCACATTTCGATAAAACAAATGACTCTCTTTTCATTTTAACAAAAAATTTATGTTGATAAATTTACACTGAAATAAATTGATTCAAAAATCATAGTCAGCTAATCAACAAATTAATTCTGAACTTATTTATTTAATATCTACAATATTAAATAAACAACACTATCTCTAGTTCAGCGTCAAGAATTGGAAGCAGACATCAAAAGTATGAATAGCAAGCTGGAAATAACTGGAAAGGATTTCGAAGTATATAGTTGGATAGAGAATTTTGGTGGTCTGCAATTGTTCCTTTACGAGGGTTTACAGGAGTAAGTAAGCAAAGTAACCGTATAGTTCACAGAATTTATTGTTATTTATTTATTGATTGATCACTGGGTGGTGAAGCTGGGTGACACGGGGTCAAATCCGTCAGGTAGAAGCAATTCTCTCAAGATTGCAGGCACACGTTGCTGACGAGTGCCGAGCAGTACGAAATCCGAGTCCAGGGTTTCCTGTTGACCACCTCCATCCACCATCTTATTTCAACATAGTGCACGCAGTGTCGAGTCACCTAGACTAATGGACACATTGCAACTTGATCGATAGCATTCAATCAGCACTAAGAAGGAGTTGACACGCATGATATTGATCACCACCCTGTGATCAATCAATTGTGATTAGAAATCATCAAGTTCATTACATAACCTAGTTTCTAGTTTGCATTATCAAAAGTTTCAAAATGACTTTGTGTTTATCCTAGAAATAATACAAAAGAATATTACTTTTTAGATTAACCCAATACAATATTTGATAAAAATACATTTACTAACACCATTCTTCATGGTTAAACTGTGTTGAAAAGGGTAGCCGGCTGCACTATAATCTGACAATAATAACTTATTCAACGAAAATGATTACTAATTAGTAATGAGTTTAATCTGATCTAATTAATTCTGTTCATATAGTTAAGATCATGAGTAAATTGAAGCTAAACCACCATGGAAAACCTGGAAACACTGGACGGCCATTTCGTCCTATTGTGGGACTCCTCAGCAGTGCACATCTACGTTCCCTCACTAGCGAGATTCGAACCCAAGACCTACAGGTCTCACGCCAGAGCACTTAACCGATAGACCACTGAGCCGGCCTGCATCTAACGGTATTAATGTTTAACCTCAACCAATCCACGAAATTGCGCGACCAATTTCCATTATACTGAGGTAGATACCTGTCTCTACCTGATATGGATTAGCTCCACTGGTCACAAATTCTCACTAGAACTCCAGGAGCCAGTCACTAGTGAGCTTTAAAAACTAGTCACCTATTACAACTTTACGTTTGAATACTATTTTAAAGGGTAAAATTAGAAATACCAGTGACGCTAATCAATACTACTTATACTCTTCCTTTAAAGGACAGATTATTAGTATTATTATAAATACTTCTTTCATTGAATATTAATAAATTAATAAAAGGCGCCAAATAATTGTATATTTTTAATAGTTATGAATTTAAACAATCCGTTATCCGTGATTTTGACGACTAAACGTAACCCAATTTGTTCTCTTTTCCATTTTGTTGTTGTTGCTTTAAAACAAGAATTAATATTTTAAAATGTACAATTTTGTCAGTATTCCATATTGTCTTTTTTTGGTTTTCTTCTTCTTCTTCTTCTTCCAAGATGGAAGAATTATTGCAGTATGATTATAAGAATATGCCTAATTTTTTTTGTGTGTGTCAAAAACCTATTGTATTTAGGTAGATATACAGATATTATGTTGTATTTTTAAAGAATAACAGAATAACTAAAAACGGAGAGAGAGGGGTGAGAGAGGGAGAGAGGAAGTGAGGGGGAAGGGAATTAAAGAATATGAACTGATCACTGTTAAACCACTATTCAAAATAGGAAAATAATGGACTACCGTTCCAACCTAGTATGGGACGATTTGTGTGTGCACATGCACGATTCCGCACGCAGGAGTCTTACTCAGGACTAGAAAACTGATTCGACACCCAACAGTGTCATATATAGATGATTGAATTTGGTTATTGCTGCTAGCTCTTCTTTTAGCAGGGTTGTTTTCCATGAGATGAGGTTGCTGACTCCATGCCCAAACCTTCGTCTTTACTTGGGCTTGGGACAAGTAGTAACCCTAGAAAAGCTACAGGCAGCAGCCTCTACAGCAGTAGGCCTCAACAGACCCAAAGAAAAAATCAAGATGCACAAATACAACACGGAGAACATCATACACAATCATACTTGATGGAGAAGCTGTGGAATATGTGGAATCCTTCACGTACTTGGTCAGCAACACTGATAGATCTGATGCAGACCTAAAGGTGAGGATCGATAAATCAAGGACCGCATGCCTACACTTGAAGAACATATGGAACTCAAAACCACTGTCAACAAATATCAACTATAATATTCAACAACTACAAATAGTCAACTATAATAAATATCAAAGTCACAATATTCAATAAGAACATTAAGACATTTAGTTCTATTGTAGGAAGCTGAAACTTGAAGAACTATTACAACCGTCATCGAAAGCTGCAATTATTTACGAACAATTGTCTACATAAGATATTCAGTGTCCAATGGTCGGATACCATCAGCAACAACTTAGTGAGAGAGAGAAAGAGAGCAAACCAGTTTCCAGCTGAATAAGAGGTTAGGAAAAGGTGTTGTGAGTAGATAGGACACACTGAAGAAATCAGAAAACTGCATCACGAAGCAAGCACTAACTTGGGATCCTGAAGATAAACGGGAAAGTGGAATACCGAAGAACACACTTTGTCAAGAATTGGAAGCATACATGAAAAGGATGAAATGAACAAAAAAAGAATGACCAGGAACTGGTTGATAGATAGCTATTGGGTGGCCTATCCTCCTCCTTCATCATCACCATCATCATCATCATCATCATCATCATCATCATCATCATCATCATCATCATCATCATCATCATCATCATCATCATCATCATCATCATCATCATCATCATCATCATCATCATCATCATCATCATCATCATCATCATCATCATCATCATCATCATCATCATCATCATCATCATCATCATCATCATCATCATCATCATCATCATCATCATCATCATCATCATCATCATCATCATCATCATCATCATCATCATCATCATCATCATCATCATCATCATCATCATCATCATCATCATCATCATCATCATCATCATCATCATCATCATCATCATCATCATCATCATCATCATCATCATCATCATCATCATCATCATCATCATCATCATCATCATCATCATCATCATCATCATCATCATCATCATCATCATCATCATCATCATCATCATCATCATCATCATCATCATCATCATCATCATCATCATCATCATCATCATCATCATCATCATCATCATCATCATCATCATCATCATCATCATCATCATCATCATCATCATCATCATCATCATCATCATCATCATCATCATCATCATCATCATCATCATCATCATCATCATCATCATCATCATCATCATCATCATCATCATCATCATCATCATCATCATCATCATCATCATCATCATCATCATCATCATCATCATCCAAATCATCATCATCATCATCATCATCATCATCATCATCATCATCATCATCATCATCATCATCATCATCATCATCATCATCATCATCATCATCATCATCATCATCATCATCATCATCATCATCATCATCATCATCATCATCATCATCATCATCATCATCATCATCATCATCATCATCATCATTAATTCTCTTTCAATTCACAATCATTTCAATCATCTATTTACCGCCTAAATTTTATTATTTTTATTTTTTTTATTATTTATTCGTTATTATGGTTACATTTATTACATCATAAAACTTTTTGTTTAATTATAATTAATTCACGTTTCTTCTTTTTTTTCCTTTTCTTTATATGAATCCATTTACATGTTCAATGGAGTGGGATATTATCTTGTTTTTTTTAAAGATTAGCGATAACTCATAAAAGAACGAATTTAAAATTCATTATGATAAAAAGTAAACTAACATTTTTTAAAAATTATCAGAAGGGGGGGAGGTTTGTAAAGATTTCAGTAATTATATATATATACATGTACATAGTTGAAGAGTCCTACAATAGGACGAAACGGCTATCTTGTGCTTTCAGCTTTTCTATGGTCGTCTAACTTCAATTGGCTTATGATTTCAACTATATAAATTAAAATTGTTTTATTATTTCAATGTTCAATATTCAATGTTCAATGTTTACACATTCATAGAACATTAAAAGGAAGGTTATAGACACTAATAATATATATATATATATACATAGATATACATTCATTCTTTCATAATAGAAGAACCTTCTCTCTCTCTTTCCTTTTTTCTTTCTTCGCTCGTTTTTATAGTCTAATTAGAAAAAAAAACTTTTTTTCTACTTGATACAATAATAAACAAAATGAAATAAAAATAATTAAAAAACAAACTAAAGAAAAATAGAGAGAGGGGGGGGGTGGAAGGAAATAATATCACTGATATTTTTGTCATTCATTTCTTTTTAATGGTTGATAATTTTTATAGTTGAGATTATTAGTCAATTGAAGGTAGACCACCATGGAAAACCTGGAAGTACTGAATGGACTTTTCGTCCCACTGTGGGACTCCTCATTAGCGCGCATACACGATTCCACCTTGCCAGATTCAAACTCAGGATCTGTCAGTCTCGCACGTGAGTGCTTGACCTATAGACCACTAAACTGGCGGGCATCCAACAATGTTAATACCTAACTTCAACCAATCCACGAAATTGAGTGACACATCCACCATTGTCTTCAGTGAGTTACTATCTCACAACAGAACTGGTTGAACACCACTTAAGAATTTTTATTTCTTATTATTATGTTAAATGATACAAATTAATCAGCGTAATTCTTGCTTAACAATTTATTATGGTTGACACTGAAAATAATGGGTTAGAATCCTACGTCTAGTATGATGGATGTATACTGCTGATGAGTCCCATGCTAGGGTGAAACAGAAGTTCAATTCTTCCACGTTCTCAAAGGTGGTCTAACATTGGTCAATTCATCATTTTAATTAAAACTCGAAAATCTCCACAACCCTATGAAATACTTGGATATTCGTTTTTTGTCCTCTCGATTTCGTAAACAACACCCCCACGACGAGAATGCAGTGAGTAGGACTTCCCTGGTAGAGGCTGTATACATATGGCCGTGTGAGAGCATTTCAAGAAAGGGGGCTAGTCCTCCTCACTCTCGGCTGTACCAGGACATTTAGGGCCATTTATGAAGTAGAGTCCATTGCATAGACGTCTTTCCGACAAACGTTGGAACACAAGAAGTTCTAATCAAAGTAACAGATACTTGAATTAATAAACTTGTTTTTTCATCTCAATGAATTCGTTAACTCTACAGAATGACTATACAGTTGTTCTGGGTACAGGTTTAAGAAATGAAGTATATACTTAAGACATAAGAGTCTCTGGCTCTGATCGTTGACTTTCAAACTGAAGAACATTTTCAAGATGAAATATTTTGCTGGTATGAGACTAACTCTTTTGACCGCTCTTGATCGTGATATAATAGTTGTTTACTGTGAATTTAAAAAATATTTGAACTAATTTTCATAGTTTCATTAATCATATGTTGTGATTGTAGAGAAACGATAGTCTAGCGACAGCATACTTGAAAGCAGTTATCAGAAGGGGGAAGATTTTTAGTAATTTTATAGTTGAAATTTATATTGCTTACAAAAATGCACATTTCTTTTGGTAAACGATTGAACAACTTATATGAAAAACCTATCTGTGGAATCAGTGAGTTAGTCAGATACAACGTAGGACCATGTACTCAAATGCATCAGCCCAAGTTGTCACACCTCATTAGCAAAACAAGATGATTACCATAAGAGTTGTGGAATAATACAATTTTATAAGTTATTTATTTATTTGAACACCTAAATATTGGTACAAAGGGGCACCAGATATGGATGCTCCACACAGATCGTTCTTTCACTGACATAACAATTACTCTCTGTTTGCGTTCTCTTCGATTTGATCTGCCCAACCTTCTGCTACCAGGCATTCCAATTCTGATTGGTATTTTTTTTACTACTTATATGAACGTAAGTAGCACACACCACACTAACTGAAAAAAGACACCTGCTGTTTTCTAGAAGTTCAACAGAGTCATGATTTAATTTTCCTTCATTGTAAACACACCACGATATAAAATACAAATGACTAGTATATAGCCACTTCAAACGCTTGATCTTTGTATGGAGCTCAAGAAAAACAATTTCTAAACAAAGGAACACATTTCAGATCACGCATTCACCCCTTTACAGGTTCTAGAACGCAGTTCAAATATAGATTGATCATTTACATGAAGATAGAATTTTAATCCTTTGTAAGAATGTTTGTCATTACAGAGAGCAATAAAATGAAGTACTTTATAGTAACATAGAGTGTTTAGGAAACAAAAATTTGAAAGGTTGTGAATCTGCTTAGGTTGTATTTTAACATTAAAATTGTAGTACAGAAGGCTTACTAAATGAAAATACTGAGATTAAGCCTAAAGAAATAAGTGCTGTGAACCTTTATCAATTCAGGTGCTTGTTTTTAGTTGTGTTGTGAGGTCAAAATTTCCCAGTTGGCTACCATGGGACCATTGTCTAGTTGTCTAGCATAAACATACACTACTCAACTGATCGGAAACTTCTAGAAAACCCAAAAAGAAGGCCGTTAAACTTGATTAACAATCAGATATATTCATGGAGAACTTTTAAACATTATAGACAGATACAACAGAAAGGAGTAAATAAACGTATACATGACTGATGAAAGAAAACGAATAAAGTCAGTTATTGATTATTTCATAGATCAATCTTCCATATTATGGGTGATAAGTTCCTTGATTTTTGGATAGGTCTATACAAAAAATGAAAGAAAAAGGAATTACACAGTATACAAAGAGATCACTACAATAATCGATTAATTTAGTTAACAAATAATACTAAGTGAATCTAAACTTCACCCAATGGCACAAGGAAGTGGATATCAGGACTCAGTAGCTAAGTGAATAACGCGATGAAGTTTGAAGCGAAAGGTACTGGGTTTGAGTCCTAGAGTGAACAATAACTCTGAGATCCGACTAACGAGTCTCAAATAAAACGAAACGCGCGTTCTGGATTCCACTACTAGCCACTATCCATCTTTGCTTATAAATATAAGAAATATTAGACCATTTTAGACAGATAGACGGTCATAATAGAAACGTCTAGAACAGTAGTGTCTGATTTAAAGCTGCTATACTTTAAAAAAAATCTAATTGAAAAGATATTGGAGAAAGAATGGAAGGATACACATGAAAGGGGAACAATGTAATGTAATATTGATGATCTATTGAAAATATGAAAAGATAAGGACTAAATTTAACAAGTTCATTTTGATTAATCTCTAAGTTGAAAGCGTGAGTCAATTGAAGCTAGAACACCATGGAAAACCTGGAAGCACTGGACGGCCATTTGGTCCTATTATGGGACTCCTCAGCATTGCGCATCCACGATCCCACATTCGCGAGACTTGAACCCAGGACCTATCAGTTTCGTACCAGAGTCCTTAACCGATAGACCATTGAGTTGACGTCCAACGGAGTTGAACAACCGTTCACCAATTGTCTTCAGTGAGTTGATATCTCACAACAGACGTGGTTTGAACTCCACTGGTCACTGCTTCTCACTAGAACTACTGGATTTGCCTCTCGAAGTCAGTCATTAGTGAGCATATGGTTATTATTATTATTATTATCAGAAGGAGGAGTCCCATAATAGGACCAAATGGCCGTCCAGTGCTTCCAGGTTTTCCATGGTGTTCTAGCTTCAATTGACTCACGCTTTCAACTTAGAGATTAATCAAAATGAACTTGTTAAATTTAGTCCTTATCTTTTCATATTTTCAATAGATCATCAATATTTCATTACATTGTTCCCCTTTCATGTGTATCCTTCCATTCTATCTACTAAATCTCCACAAAACCCTTTCTGATAATAATAATCTCTAAGTCACATTCCCTCCCAATGGCCTTGACAATTCATAGTTTAACCAAGACAGTCTAAAACCTAGTACATAAATCAAAGCAACTGTTAGTTAGTTCGTAGCTTGTGTATTAGATCTTTGCATACTGATAGGACCGCCAACTAAATTCATTAATTCATATGTCGTAAATGATCACTTCTAAAAGACACAGTCAGTCAGTCACAACGTAGAACTTCGTACGTACGTACATCAGTTCGAGTTGCATATCACATTTACACAGAGATGAAGTTGTCGATTCAAATCCCATAGTGGTAGAAATAGTAAGAGTATAAGCAGTAATCGGGAAGATTAGGGTTTGAAGATGTTATTGAAGGAATATAATACAGTGAAATAAAATTCAAAAGAGGGAGACATAAAGAATTCAGAAGATAAGAATTTGGCAGAACACAAAGAGTGGATGCACCTACGCCATCGCAAACGATCTCGAGCCATGTCATTCAAGGTCTCTAACCATCGACTGCTATCATCTCTCGAATCCCAACCAGGTAGTCTACACCTACCAACATGATTCAGTCCAGTTGTCAGTGACTTCATGGATTTGTACCACGTTTTGGTCTGGCCGATATTAACTTTTTTCCAACCTACTCCTACGCCATAAAACATTGTACGTCGGGGCAGTCGGTGGTTGGGCATACGTAACATGTCCCTATAAAACAACTTCGAAATATGATTGAGTATTACTCGTATACCATAAATGATGTAGATTAGTTGAATCCAAATTATTAAAACTGGAAATACTTCTCAAATGAGTAAAATAGTAAATCAAGTTATTTCAATTCTTAAAAAACTAGATTTTAATAAAGGCTGTAGCCCAGTATCTTACTAATACTTTTAATAAATTGAAAATGCCTGATAAATTTTCTGAGAAATGTTTAAAGAGATAATGAAAAACCTCCAATCTCGATTGCATTTAACTAATATTTATCAGGTTTCATTGTTACTAATACTTTTACAAGTAAGTAGAATCCACTGTCTTCTCGTGGCAGAGATGTTGTTTACGAAGTTGAGAGGATGAAAAACGAATGTCCGGAGTTTCAACCGGGTTGGTGGATATGGAGGATCTACCTAGAGGAGTTGGTAAGCTCTGATTCCAAACGGATGGTGTACATGGGCTCCAAGATTCTGAAGATCAAATGACGTATGAACCTATTATTGGTCACCAGCTACCATGGGATTGCAACTCCTGACGTTGCTCCACTGTCTTGTGGATCAGACCTTTAGGTCAAAGGCTCCGGGAATGAGCCTTCAAGAAAACCATTTGTTTCGGTCTGAGCATCCGGGCAGTATCACAGCCCATACATAAATGAAGTGACTTGTGTGGTGCATATGTATTCAGTGGCCCTTTGTACCAATATTTATGTGTTTAAATAGGTAAATAATAAATAAACAAGTAGAATCTAAAATTTTTTAAGGCTGTTGGCATATGTTAACTACAGTTTTCGTCAGTGAAATATGTTCTTATGGCTGCCAGAAGTTGATGAAAGTTCTATAGTGGTTCTATCAACTTGCTTAAACTAACGTAAATTACATTCAAATGCTTTGTTGACACTATTATACTTTGACGCTGTTAACCCTCGTGGAGGAGCATAGGTCGCCCACCAGCATTCTCGATCCAGCCCCGTCCTGGGAGGTCCTTTCCAATTGTTATTCATCCCTTTCATGTATGCTTCTATTTCCTGGCGTAATGTGTTCTTTGGCCTTCCTCTTTTCCACTTCCCTTCTGGATTCCATGTTAGGGCTTGCCTCGTGATGCACATTGGTGATTTCCTTAATGTATGTCCTATCCACTTACAACGCCTTTTTCTAATTTCCTCTTCAGCTGGAAGTTGATTTGTCCTCTCCCACAAAAGTCTGTTGCTGATGATATCCGGTCAGTGAATGTTGAGTATTTTGCATAGACAACTGTTTATAAATACTTATACCTTCTTGACGATGGATGTAGTAGTTCTTACTTTGAAGTATGTTGTATAATAAGAGAAATTTGCTTAGAATGTTGATTTATTAACTAGGAATAAGAATATCTAAAGTTTTAGAATGGAACTATATATCCTATTCAAGAACTCTGAACGTAGTTGAATAATTAATACATGAACAACTGAATGAAAAACTTACTTGACATAACCAATCCAAATATTCTTCAATGGACATGTCTACAATGCGTGTTCGTATAAAATCGATAGCTACAGAACTTGCTGGTGAAAGAATTTCCCAAAGTGTTAAAGAAGACAGGACACGAGTAAATGACATCACAGTAAACAGACTTGGTGATAACTACAAAAAAACAAACAAACAAAAGAAACCTACATTAAGCTGTTAGAAAGAAAGGAATTATAATCCAAACTGTTGACTATTCATGAATAGAGACATTTTCTTAAAGCATAAGTTCTTTAAAATATCAGACATGTTATATTGTTTTCGACGTTCGATAGTATTTTAATCAAAAGATAGGACAACGCTGCTTATTGTGATGAAGCAATCGAGCTATACTGGCTGGAACAATCGTTCCTCAAGGTCCTACCATGCCAGGCAGGTCGGTTGAAAAGCGGTAAGACTAAAAGCAGCAAACCCAAGATCCGAAGGCGAAGTCGTACTGCTGACTGTACAGAGGTGTGACAGCAGTAAGGTGTTTCCTTCAAACAACCAGCATAACAGAGATGCTGCCTTCTCACAAGGAGGGGTGGGGTTAGAAATGGTCGACTCTAAAAATGCACACATCGCCTTATCTCACGGATATCCGTCTCCAGCGGTAAGGTCCCAACAAGTACGGAGCTAACACAGAAATTACCCACAAAAAGGTCGTATGTGACCGACCTCAAACAGTTGTACCTTAGGCACTGCGGTCACGCTTTCAGGTCATTAAGATCACTTCTAACCCAATTTCCTTTTCAGGTACCGCTAGAAGAATCCTTCCACGGTGTAAGCAACCGGGAAGTGATAACTGCCCTCATACCTCTAACTGACTGACTGACTGACAAAAAATATTATGAAGTTGAGACAAATTATTTATTGAATAATAAATGATTCTATTTTATCTACGAAGTGTTCACTAGACTATATGGACTCGATAACACAGTGAACATGATCTGTTCCCAAATGGTTAGAGACAATCGATAGAAAGTTCTGGGGTTGACTTTTATACTGATCAGTTATCATTAAAAATTTGTGTTTGCAATCTTATTGGAATTCATACTTCGTCAACACTTCAAAGTTATGTCACACAGTGAACTAATCACAAATGTCATTTCTAGGTTATTCATGTCCCAAGTGAACTTATTTATGACTGAGATGTTTGTACAAACCATCTAAACATGTTTAACAAGAGATCAATTGAAATTAAGTTATGTTTACCCTATTCGAGAAATCTAAACATGCACAGCCATACAGTTAGGTGAATATCAAAGTATAATCATAAAACAGTATTAAGCAAAAAAAAGAAAACAGATGTCGAAAAGGAGAGGAATCAGTTCGAAATCTAACTGTATAATCAGTCCAGAATATTTAAGTAATGACTGAAGTTAAACAATACAAATCATTTGATTTAGATTTGGAAGAAAAGCAACAGAATGGATAAACAGAAGGGGTTTTGTGGAGATTTCAGTATTTTCATAGTTGAAATCATGAGTCAGTTGAAGCTAGACGGCCGTTTCGTCATATTGTGGGACTCCTCAGCAGTGCACATCCACGATCCCGCACTTACGAGATTCGAACCCAGAACCTACCAGTCTCACGCCAGATCACTTAACCGATAGACTTAGATCGATTGACTCATGATTTCAACTATAAAAAAATACTAAAATCTCAACAAAACCCCTTCTGATTATAATCATACGCTCACTAGTGACTGAAATGAATACACATGTCCTGAGATTCTAGTGAAAAGTAGTGACCAGTGGAGTTCAACCAGGTCTGCTGTGAGATATCAACTCATCGAAGACAATGGTGGATGTGTCACTCATTTTCGTGGATTAGTTGAAGTTAGACATTATTACTGTTGGATGCCAGCTCAGTGGTCTATCAATTAAGTGCTCTGACGTGAGACTGGTAGTTCCTGGGTTCGAATCTCGCAAGACGACGTCATGGATGCGCACTGCTGAGGAGTCCCATAATAGGACGAAACAGCCGTCCAGTGCTTCCAGGATTTCCATGGTGGTCTAGCTTTAATTGGCTCATGATTTCAACTATGAAGAATGAATAAATTTAGTAACTTGAAATCTTACACAAAGGTGAATCATTTATTATTCTACACATAAATAAGTAAGGAGTTAGACAGTCATAAAATGATCAGGGATAATATAAATATTTGAAGAACAAAGTATTACAAAATGAGAAGAATATTATGAATTTCATTGAAATCATAAATATATCTAAGTTGGATCATGACTGAAGAGCTGAAAGCATTGAAATCTTCATCAGTGCGTATCCACGATACTGCTTACAGGACTTGGACCAAGGACCTTCGGTCACGCGCATAAACCTCTAACATCTGATCTCGTAATGTCATGCATGGATTGATTGAAGTTAGACATTAACACCGTTGAACACTATCCCCGTGGTCTAGAAGTCAAGTGTTTACACACGAGACCGAAGGTCCTGGGTTCAATTCTCGCTTTCGGGATAGTGGATTTGCATTGCTGAGGTTCAACCTTTTCAGATCTGTAGTAGTGGTCTGACTTAGTTTCACCAATAAAATGAAATTCAACTATCTCCACAACCCATACAGAAGAATATTCTGAATATTAAAAATATGGGTAATGCATTTAAGCTAATTAAACTGTTCACTTAGTATTGTTTGTTTGAATCTTCCCAAGTGAATTTAAAGTTCACTCCATTATACAAGCAAGTGACTATCAGAAATCAGTAACTGAGTGGATAACGCGATGGCGTTTGAAGCGAAAGGTACTGGGTTCCAGTCCCAGAGTGAACATCAACTCTGAGATACAGATGCATCCAGCTTGACGATTCCCAATTAGGACGAAACGCGTGTCCTGATTTCACTGCTTACCACTATCCATCTTTGCTTATTATTGAACTGCGTTTAAAAATCCTTGAAAACTAAATTCGTTTAAGTTTCTTAGTTTTTTTTAACAGAAAGGATTGATAATTTACTTACTTGAGCATAAAATTTAAGTTTAGATAAAACGGTTACGAATTTTGGTTCAAATTTTAGATCAGATAAATCAGTTAAAATATCCGAATACCTATAGTCAGGGAGAAACAATAAAATGAAAAATGTTTAATTACACAGTGTTTAGAAAGAATTGTTGCTAAGGGATGGCCTTTGAGTAATGCTAGACTGACTTTAAGAGTGTTCACCTAATACTTACTTACTTATGCCTGTTACCCCTCGTCGAGGAGCATAGGCCACCCCACCAGCATTCTCCATACAACCTCGTCCTGGGCAATCCTTTCCAGTTATTATTCATCCTTTTCATATATGCTTCTATTTCCCAACGTAATGTGTTCTTTGGCCTCTCTCTTCTCCGCTTCCCTCCAGGATCCCAAGTTAGCGCTTGTTTCGTGATGCAGTTTGGTGAATTCCTTAATGTATGTCCAATTCACTTTCAACATCTTTTCCTAATTTCCTCTTCATCTGGAATCTGGTTTGTCCTCTCCCATAAAACGCTGTTGCTGATAGTATCCGGTCAGTGAATGTTGAGTATTTTGCGTAAACAGCTGTTTATAAATACTTGTACCTTCTTGACGATGGATGTAGTAGTTCTCCACGTTTCAGCTCCGTACAGTAGGACTGTCTTGACGTTCACATCAAAGATTCTGACTTTGAAATTAGTTGACAGTTGTTTAGAGTTCCACCTAATAACTAGGACTAAATAAGAGTTATAACCCAGTGTGAGGATTTCAAACTATGATGTACAGTTAATGGTTAAGATTGGGAATTAGATTTATGATTTTCATCACAAACTGACATTATCTGTAATGCCAAAACTCTATTTAGCCGAAAGGATGAAGTGAATTTCGCGCCAAAATCCGAGACCTATTTTCTTATACTTGATTGGTTCATCCATAAACTATAGTCTCGCCGTTGTTAATTTAAACCCCATAAAGATTTACTAATTGCTACGAATTGCTATCACAAAAGGTTTCATTATTGACCTTCATGAACTATAACTGGTATCTCGCGGGTATAATTTGATGTTATAAAGTAATGAGGTAGGGTCTGGAGGTGGTTCTCAGTAGTAGTTGTATATAAAGAGCATAAATATAACGAAATATATTCTATGCTAGCGAATAGAAGTTAAAGAATCTCGACTGAAGATCCAGCGTGCAGGATCGTGGATGTGCACTGCTGAGGAGTCTTATAATCAAATAAACAATAATGTTTATTCTTATTTTGATTGATAGAACTTCGCAACACACAAAGAATAACGTAATATCAGTCAAAATCATGAGTCAATTGAAGCTACCACCATGGGAAACCTGGAAGCACTGGAAGACCGTCTCGTCCCATTACGGTGGTTTATCGCTTAAGTGCTCTGGTGCGAGACTGGTAGGTCCTGGGTTCAAATCTAGCGGGTGCGGGATCGTGGATGCGGACTGATGAAGAGTCCCATAATAGGACGAAACGTCCTTCCAGTGCTTCCAGATTTTCGATGGTGGTCTAGTTTCAATTGACTCCTGATTTCAACTACAAAAATACTGAAATCTCCACAAAACCCCTTCTGATCTGTAATATTAGTCCTTTTCTCTTCCCTACGTTTCATTTTTATCTTATAATCATGTAAGGAATACGATTTCAAATTATGCAATCAGGAAAGCCAGCCAGAAGAAAATATCGCGTCAGGCGATGTGATTCTATACACTTGTTGACCACCTCCAACCACCATCTTATCCTATACACTTGTATTTTGCATATATCTTACATGTATATATTAAAGGCAATATTTGAAGTTTAATGAGGCAGACATGAAATTAAAATGTAAATAACGGTGTAAATAGATGAATCGAATCACTGAAGTGTTAGAAACCAATATAGAAAAACTTATTATAGTTAATCTATCTAAAGACATGACTATGCTTCATTGTTCTTTATCTCCCATCCTCCCACCCTCTGTCTAGATCTTCAGCATGTATCCAACTGACAGATATCAATTAATGATTAATAATAATAATTTCTAGGGATACCACCCATAACTCAGGGTCTGGAAAGTCGGGAAAATGGAAATTTCGTAAATGCGATAAAAATGATCTTGGTGGTCTTGTATGACTATTCCGACACCGAACAATGAGTTTTAAGCGTTCTTATGCCCTAACGCTTCAGGTTGGGCTGTTTCACTTACTACCCTATATATGTGTTGTATGCAGTATAAGCTATATGGCCATGTAGAGCTGAAGGTTTTTGTGAGACTGGAGGTTCGCCATTGACATTGTGGATGGTTCGGTACTACTTTAGCAAGTTTTGCTGGCTGTTCATGTGAAAAGTTGGTTTGCTGTTTAACCGATTTCATTCATACTGGTGGTTGTTTTTCAGTGTTCTCAAGGGCCATTGTCATTGGAACATTGTAAGGCACGTCGCCATTGCTAACAGTAATGAGTTTGACTGTCGTGTAAGCGGAATGGGTCAACTTTGGCCTGTTCATGCTGTGCATAATTGATTTACGCGATCACTGATCGGGATATTTATACACAGGATGTGAATGTGTATATGAATGATGCGAATGGTCCACCAGGGTGCTCGGTACCTGTGTGGTTGCGCCACAGGATTGAGCTGTACCGTTCGGATTGTAGCTTTGAAGCCTATATAGTGTCCGGTTCTCCTATAGGGCGGGATTGAGCTGTACTGCTTGGGTTAAGCCAGAGGGCAGTATCTAGCTCTCTTGTTAAGCGCGATTGAGCTGTACAGTTTGGGTTGTCACGTGAAAGTCTGGATGGTGTCTGGTTCTCCTGAAAACTAGTGCAAGATTACCCTGGCCCATAAGGGTATATTATATAACTATAACCATAATAATAATAATAATAACCCCTGTAAATCTAAAATAAGTCATTTAAATTACCATGGAGCTACTTCATTTTTTTGTTTAGATTTTTTGGACAATTCACCAGTTGCTTTATCATAAAGAGCCATTCTACGCATAGATTGCATAGCTACATGTGTATAACTATTAACAGGAATATTATGATATTTAGCCAAGCATATTTCCGGTTTTATTCTATAAAAAGGAAGAAAAAAAGTTCAGTACATGAGGTGAGGCAGTTAAGAAGCATGAATAAAATAAACAGTAAATTTTTAGAATACGTTATGGAACATTTAATGTATTTCCTTATATCTGGGAACTTGATCTGTCAAGCTAAAGTCAGTCAGTCAGTCACAACGTAGAACTTCGTACGCATTTACATCAGTTTGAGTTGTCATACCACATTAGCACAGATATGAAGTTGTCGATTCAAATCCCATAGTGGTAGAAGTGGTAAGAGTATAAGCATTATGTGAAAGATTAGGGTTTGAATATGTTATTGAAGGAGCATAATCCAATGAAATAAATTTGGAAAGAGAAAAAGATAGAGACATGAGGAATTCAGAAGATTAGAATTTGGCGGAACAAAAAGAGTGGATGCACCATCACCATTTCAAACGATTTTGAGACATGTCATTCAGGGTCTCTAACCATCGATTGCTATCATCTCGCGCATCCCAACCAAGTAATCTACACCTATCAACATGTCTCAGTCCAATTGTCAGTGACTTCATGGATTTGTTCCATGTTTTTGTCTGTCCGCCCCTAGTTTTCTTCCAGCCTACTCCTACACCATAAAACATTGTACGTCGGGGCAGTCGGTGGTCGGGCATGCGTAACACGTGTCCCAGCCATCTCAACTAATGAAGTTTCACTACTTCATCAATCGATTTGCCATCCCTACCTAGTACTCGTTTCCTAACAACTGCATTACTTACCCGGTGGCCCCAGAATATGCGAGCAATGCTTCGAAGACATCTATGATCGAATAGCTTATCAACACTTAGTAGACTGTTATTGGTAAAGTTTATTTCCTCACATTATTGATCTAGATACCGTTTAAATTATTGCTCACAAATGATGAAACCATTATTCAATACATGATAATAATGTTTTACTGTTAATATCAACCTAATTCTTTTCCGACTAATGTAATGTAAAGTTTGGAAAACAAGTCGTTTATCGTTGAAATGGTCCACCCCTAAGAATTTAAGGGAAGACAGTCAGTAATATGTTATAAATATAGTATAGTTCTACTATACGGAGCTGAAACTTGAAGAACAATTACAACCATCATCAAAAAGATAAAAGTATTTCGAAACAGTTGTTTACATATGATATTGAATTCCGTTGGCCAGATACCATCAGCAATAGTCTACTGTAGGACAGAAAAAAACAGCTTCCATCTGAAGAGGAGATTGAGAAAAGACATTGTAAGTGGATAGGATATACATTGATGGAATCATCAAACTGCATCACTAGGTAAACCCTAATTTGGAATCCGTAAGGGAAACGGAAAAGAGGAAGGCCAAAGAACACATTACGCCAGGAAATAGAAGCAGTTATTAAAAGGATGAATAACAACTGAAAAGAACTGGAAAGGATTTCTCAGGACGGGGCTGGATGGAGAATGCTGGTGGGCGGCCTATGTTTTTCCACAAGAGGTCACAGGCGTAAGTAAGTAAGTAAGTAGATATTTTTCACGGACGATCTGATTTTCTCCATGTAAACATTGTTAAAAGGTATTTTTTCGACATTTAAATAAAATTCACTTTCATAAGCAGAGATGGATGATGGCTACAAGTGGAATCCAGGAAGCACGTTTTGTCTCGTTTGGGAGTCGTCAGCTAGATGTGCTTGCGTTAACTCTTCTATGGTAAAGTAGATAATCAATCAGACTTTTGAGTGTAAGGATTAATCGTGGCTAAGAATTCGCAATCGGTGTGATCTATTCCATGATAAACATTGATATCCCTCACTGATTGCTTAATATTACACCTATTTGAATTGTTGAATATTGTGTGGAAATATCAGGCACTTTGGGTAATTCAAACCTTAATTTTCAAATCAACTCACTGGAGAATTTAAAACGGGGGAACAATAATGTCGCTTATTTATTGATCAACAACCATTTACTGATTATTCAGTAATATATGAAAATGTTGTTCTCTGTGTAATTTTTATAAGTAAACTAATTTGAATCATGACGGAAAGAATAATTGAATTTAGATATTAACACCGTGGGATGCTGGTCGGCTCAGTGGTCTACAGGTTAAGTGTTCGCGTGCGAGACCAATAGGTTCTGGGTTCAAGTCTCGCAGGGTGGAATCGGGGATGTGCACTGTCGAGGACGAAGAGGCATCCAGTTCTTGCAGGTTTTCCATAGTGGTCTAGCTTTAATTGACTCATGAATTCAACTATTAAATATAAATTTACCAAACAGTTTACATAGAAAACACTTGGCAAGACTTACTGTTTCATAAATTCCAAACGATCTTGAAATTTAATACTATTCTCATCAGTCACTATTGATAATTCTTTACGTATATTCTTCACTAAATTCATGAACTTATTACTTGAAAATTCTTTAGGAACTTCATTCACATGACTTTTCACTGGCCTATCAAAGAAATTATAATCTCAATAACAATAATTTCAATCCAGATAAAGATGTATAGCTACAATTGAAACCATAAGTTGATCTAAGCTAGGCCACCATTGAGAACCTGGGAGCGTAGAGAGGCCGTTTTGTCTCGGAATGGGACTCCTCAGTAGTTCAAATCCACGATCTCACATGTAGGAGTCAAAATCAGGATCTTAGGTATCGTGCGTGAACATCTGAACTCTAGACACTGAAGCTGCATCCAACGGTGTTAATGTCTATCATCAATCAATCCATGATATTATTTCCGGTCAGTGACTGCCTCATATCCGACTAGAATCGCACTCCACTGGTCACGGCCTATGCTTCCAGGTTTTCAATGATGGTCTAGCTTAGGTTGACTCATGATTTCAACTGTGAAACTACTACAATCTCCCCATATCTCCATACTAAAAATGTAAACGACAAAAATTTTTTCATACCATTCAATTGGTTTACTTTAATAGAAGACCTATGTATATTTGAAGCGGTTTTGTGGATATTATAGTGATTTTAATAGTTGAAATCATGAATCAATTGAAGCTAGATCACCAAGGAAAATCTGGAAGTACTGGATGGTCGTTTCGTCCTATTGTAGGACTCTTCATCAGTGAGCATCCACGATCCCGCCTGCTACGGAGTCCCACAATAGGACAAAAAGGCCGTCTAGTGCTTACAAGTTTTGATGTATATTTGTTGATAAAACGTTGAATGACTATTATCTACAATACGTCAGAGTGAAAATGCAGTATAATTTACTACGGTTGCTCTTAAAGGATATCCTACTCTAAAACTGGATGAAATCATTAAACAATTAGGAAATTTTTTTAGTTTTCCATATAAACGCATCGAGGAGAATCTGTCAATTATTCATTTTTTATTCTTGTTTTAGTATTCAACTACACTTAATGCTTTTAGCCTCCTTGTTGTTCAAAAAACCAACACTCAACTTGTTTCATTTCGTATTGTTTATTTGAATCTTCCCATTGATGTTTAGCACTACAATTGATCAGTCTCTTATCAGCATATGTGCATACTGTGAGTATTTCCCCAATAAAGCCTTAATTCACAAACATTCTAAGCAAAGATGAGTTTGAGTCCCAGAGTGAACATCAACTCTGAGATCAGGTACATCCGGTTGACGAGTCTCAAATAGGACGAAACTGGCGTCCTAGATTCCACTTCTGCCCAATATCCATTTTTGCTTCGAATCAATTTATGTTTAAACAAGATATTCTATGTCAATTGTATCTATCTAAAACTTGCATGAACCTAAGTTTTATGCTTTCTTAGTATATACAATAAAGAAAACTACCTTTTCTCAATAGTTTTTGACGAGATTTGTCCTCTTGTTGTCAATTTTAGTTCGGATTCCTTTAAAGTTTCTTTATCCATTTCAACTTCTATTTGATGCTAAGTTAAAAATTTACAAAATAATCATAAAACAAATAATCAGTTCAAACATGTTTATACCATACAATTCATCATTTATAGCATGGTGTGGGTTACTTATATCCATATAAGTAGTATATAACAGTGATCAGACATAGAATGTATTTCAGTAGAAGATCGGTAACGGAAGAACGGTAATGAAACGTGATCAGTATGAAAGTGCATGAACAATGAAATCTCAGATCATGGACTGATATTTTCAAAAGGAATAGTGAAGATTGAGACGATGGATTGTTATTTTGCAAACTATTTACTATTTTCATAGTTGAAAGCGTGAGTCAATTGAAGCTAGACCACCAAGGAAAACCTGGAGGCACCGGATGGCTGTTTTGTCTTATTATGGGACTCCTCCCTGGTGGTCTAGTTTCAATTGACTCACGCTTTCAACTATGAAAATACTAAATATCCACAAAAAACTCCTTCTGAAAATAACTATTTACTATATGGTTCTGCGATTTTGTGCCCAAATACATTCGGTTGTCCTTACTTGAGTTCTCCATCATTACTAATAGTATGGAACTATATTACGAGTATAGAGAGAGTCATGTCTATGATTAATTTATAAGGCAGTATCAATTATGTGGTCACGTTATGACTTTAATGATTGATTAAGCAAGTTTTTTGGAAGGTGAAACCCTACTCACACATCTTCGTCGTGCCTCCTAGATCATGGTACTGTTTCCATGTACGGGTGATGGAGGTCGGCCTAATCAACCACCCTACCTATACCCACAAATGATGACGATTGCTACAAACAATCATTGCATAGTTAATGCTGGTTCAAAAAGAAAGAATGAATGAGTCTGCCCAAAAAATAAAAGGAAGAAAGAATTATGTAATGGTTCTGAGTAAGCAATGCAAAAACAGCTATCGAGCCCCGATAGTTGTGCTGTGCTTCGATGTAGCACTCTTCTCCAGAAGGGCCTAATAGGCTTCACCATATTCCTATGGAAAGCAAGTTATTGGTATGCTTTATATGACAGTCATAAATTTAACCATCTTTAATCTGTTTACATTGAAAAACAAAAACAGATCATATGTCAACATAAGTTACAAAAGGTTTTAAAAAAATAATACGTTGGTCAACATGATCTTTTCCCAGATCTAATCATAATGATCAACCAACCTGTGATAATCAGAAGGGGTTTTGTGGAGATTTCACTAATTTTATGATTAAAATCATGAGTCAGTTGAAGCTAGACCACCATGGAAAACCTGGAAGCACTGAACGGCCGTTTCGTCCTATGGTGGGACTCCTCAGCAATTCTAGTGAGAAGCAGTGACCAGTGGAGTTGTGAACGGTTGCTCAACTTCGAGGATCTGTTGAAGTCAGACATTAACACCGTTAGATGTCGACAAGCTCAGTGGTCTAGTGGTTAAGCGCTCTGACGCGAGACTGGTTGGTCCTGGGTCCGAATCTCGTGAGGTGGGATCGTCGATGCACACTGCTGAGGAGTCCTATAATAGGACAAAACGGCCGTCCAGTGCTCCCAGGTTTTCCACGGTGGTTTAGCTTCAATTTACTCATGATTTCAAATATAAAATTACAATCTATGATAAAACTGATTCAATAGACCTGTACACACTAATTTAAAGCATAATTCATGATAACTTATGATTATTATATCCATATAGTAGTATAGGTATTAACTCCACCTGGAGCCCCTCTGGAACTACTGTCGGTCCTAAGCCCGGATAAAGGAGAAAAGTTGAGCATGGAGTTAGAGATCCCATCCTGTACAAAACTAACTCGCTAAAACAAAAGCTAACCAGAAGAAAAATAATTCAGTATAGATACATTCACTTCAACTTACCACTAGTTCACTAAGGGTTTCTTTTGACAATTTATGAATATCATTTATACTATTGATCCATTGACTAAATAGAATAAAATGAAAAGAAAGATTCTTATTCAATTTGATCAAAGACTGGATTATCGAAATCATTTAATAAAGAAATATTTATAGAAATGAATGGGGATTAATTCATAATATATGGATAAATGAAATCATGAGTCAATTGAAGCTAGACCACCATGGAAAACCTGAAAGCACTAAACGACCGTTTCGTCCTATTATGGGACTCTTCAGCAGTGCGCATCCACGATCCCGCCTCGCGAGATTTGAACAAAGGACCTACCAGCCTCGCGCTAGAGAACTTAACCGATAGATCGTCTAGTGCTTCCAGGTTTTCCATGGTTATCTTGCCTCAATTAACTCATGATTTCAACTATGAAAATAATGAAATCTCCACAAAACCCCTTCTGATATGGGTAAATATTATTATGTGTATGTGCTACTGATGTCGATATATATGAGTAGTATGTATCATCAGTCAATGGTGAAATGTCTGGTAGCAGAAGGCTAAGAAGATCAAAGAAAAGAGAACGAGAACAAAGAATGATTGATATGGAAACGAAAGAACGATGAAGTCTGAGATGATTGATTGACATTTTGCAAATGAAGCATTCAATGTATGGTACTCAGATTTCACCAAATAATTCTGTAAGTTTGTGTTCAAATACATTCGATTGTCCTCCCTTGTGTTCTCCTTCACTACAATACTAATATTTATCTCATTAGTCAATCAAATTATTGATGTTTTCTTTAACTTGCATGGATACAACATTAAAAGCCAAGTTATATTTGGAACCATTTTCAGCTAGTAAAGATCCTTTTGGCTTTGTATTGGTCATCATTCAACAAAAAATGATTCATTCATATTAGTCTTACAATATACACACAATATATAGACAGTATTCACAAATTCATATGGTTTATTTCTTCACGTATATAACTTCTGGAATTTATATAATCAGGTCGAATCATACCTCCAACTCGTGCATATACATTAAATGAACAAAATCATTCTAATGGTGAAGCTAGACCACCACGGAAAACCTAGAATCACTGAATGGCCGTTTTGTCCTATAGTGGGATATGATTTTCACTGACTGAATCAATTGATTTCATTAAAAAAACTTATTGTGAATGTATTTTAGTTTGCGGATAATGATTAATTATTGATTCCACGTGAGGGATCATATGTATGTACATCACTGAGGAATCCCATATTAGGACGAAACAACCATTCGATGCTTTTACGTTTTCCACTAATGATCTAACATTAATCCATTCATGACATCAGTCTGATTATTATCAATTGTGACAGAATATCACCATAGCATTTTGTTTTATCAATCTTTATTCATAGAGTCAATACTGAAAAAAGGGAGGGGGAACATGAAAAACAACAAAAAAAATTTCCCCCCCCCAAAAAAAAAACGAAAACACAAAATTATTTAAACAAACTTTTCATTTTTTTTCATAGTGTTATCACTTTTTAAAAATTGTACACATTTTTTATTAGATATATTAAGATCTGATTGATTGATTATTGATGATCGATTAAAATTTTTATTGATTATTGAAAATTGATCAGATAATGATTGTTCATTAATATCTATTAAATCAATGAAATATAATCAATAATATGAATGAATAGAGAAGTTTCATAAAACTGATCAAAATAATCAAAATTTTTTAATATAAAATTATTAGATGATATTGTGGTGTGAGTGTGTGTGATGTGGAATCCTGAAGGCCAAAGGAGAAGAGGAAAATCAAAGAACACATTACACTGAGAAATAGAGACAGACATGAGAAAAATGAACAAGAACTGGATAGAACTAGAAAAGAAGGTCCAGGATAGAGTGAGTAAGAGAAAGCTGGTCAGCGGCCTATGCTCCATTAGGAATAACAGGCGTAAGTAAATAAGGGTTACTTATATCCATATAAGTAGTATATAACGATGGTCGAGCATTGAATGTATTTCAGTAGAAGATCGATAAGGAAAGAACAGGAATGAAGCGCAATCGGTATGATAATGCATGGACAATAATAATCGGAGACTACGGACTGATATTTGCAGAAGGAACGGATAAGATTGAGACAATTGATTGATAGTTTGTAAATTAACTGTTTACGGTATGATTGTCATATTTAAGTGAGACAAATTGTAATTTCCGTGTCTAATACATTAAACTGTTCCCACTCGTGTTCTTGTTCACTATAATATCAGTTAAACTAATGAAAAGAACTAGAATATAGAACACACATCTAGATACATCCAGCTGACGAGTCTCAATTAGGACGAAACGTCCTGGATTCCATTGCTAACCACTATCTATCTTTGCTTAGAATGCTTATGAATTAAGGCTTTATCGATGCAATACATACAGTATGTACATATACCAGTAAGAGACTGATCAGTTGTAGTCCTAAATATCGATGAGAAGATTCAAGTAAACAATACCTAGTGAATCCATACATCCAAGTATTTATGTATTTGTGATTGAGATCATGAACCGATTGATGCTAGACTACTATTAAAAGCCTGGAAGTATTGGATGGCCTCAAACGGGATTGTGGATGAGCACTGCTGAGGTGTCCTACAATAGGATGAAACGACCGTTCAATGCTTTCAGGTTTACAATAGTGGTCTAGCATCAACTAGTTCATGATCTTAATCAAAAACATAATAATCTACCTGGAAGCACTGAACGGCCGTTTCGCCCTACTGTGGGACTCCTCAGTATTGCGTATCCACGATCCACCTACCAGTCTCGAGCGCGAGCACTTAACCGATAAACCACTGAGTCGGCATCAAACGGTGTTAATGTCTAACCTCAACCAATCCACGAAGTTGAGTAACCATTTCACCAATGTCTTCAGTGAGTTGATATCTTCAAACAGACCTGGTTGAACTCCCGTGGTCACTACTGCTTCTCACTAGAACTCCAGGAAATACCTCATGGATCCAGTCACTAGTGAACATATGATAAGGGGTTTTTTGTGGAGTCCCACAATAGGCCCAAACAACCGTTTAATGCTTCCAGATTTTCCATGGTGGTCTAGCTTCAATTGATTCACAATCTCAACTATATATAAAAAATAGATGAAATGGTTTAATTTTCAACCTGTTCACATTGACTATAGTGATCAAGTTCTTGGCAAGTAAATCAATTATTCAACACCTTTAATTGATCTTTCATCATTATTAAGATAAGTAATTTATATTACTTACCGAATTTCGTTACTTTATTGATTGATTGAGATTTCATAATTGACGATGAAGGTGTTGGACATCTTTGTTCAGATGATAATGTTCCAGATTGTAAAGAATTTAAACTATTCGTTGAACTAAGCTAAAAAATAAAACATTAATCTATTAAAAAAGATAACATTAAGAAAATTTATCTAAGATATAATTGTTGTTCCTTCAATCTACAATTAACATTTTGAGAAGCAACCTCAGTACAATGAAGGACGGTTGCACGATTTCATGGATTGGTTCAGGTTAGACATTAACACTCTCGAATGTCAGCTCAGTCGTCTGGAGGTTAAGCGTTCGCACGCGAGACGGGATCGTGGATGCGCACTGTTGAAAAGTTCCATAATAAGATGAAACGACCTTCCAATTTTTTCAGGTTATCAATCATAGTCTAACATCAATCGATTCATGATCTCAATCAAAACATATAATAAGATATATTTTATTAGGCCTCAGTACAATGGAAGATGGTCGCAAAATCTCGTGGATTGGTTCAGGTTAGACATTGACACTACTGGATGCCAACCGGCCCACTGGTCTGCAGGTTAAGCTTTCGTTCATGAAACTGAAGATGCTAGGTTTGAATCCCGCGAGGCGGGATCGTGGATGTGCACTGCTGAGGAGTACCACAATCGGACAAAACAGCCGTCCAGTGTTTCCAAGTTTTCAATGGTAGTCTAACATCAATCCATGATCATGATCTCAATCAAAACATATAATAAGATATATTTTATTAGGCTTATTTAAACTAACTTGCTGATTACGAAATTTGGTCTTTGTTTGTTTATAATTTGTATCATAGATAAAGTCATGCCAAACTTGATCAGCTTGATTTTGTTGATCATACACTTCACTTAATTCTGTTGTTGAATCATTTGAACTAGTTAATTAAAGTAGAAAAAGTGTAAAATCATAAGTTATGTAAAAATTAGTACTTTATATATGAAGTTATATACTTATGCCTGTTACCCTTCGTCGAGGAGCATAGGCCTCTCACCATCATTCTCCAGCCAACTCTGGCCTGAGCCTTCCTTTCCAGTTCTTTCCAGTTAACATTCAACCTTTTCATATATGCTTCTATTTCCCGACATAATGTGTTCTTTGGCCTCCTTCTTTTCCGCTTCTCTTCCGGATTCCAAGTTAAGGATTGCCTCGTGATGCAATTTGGTGATTTCCTTAATGTATGTCCTATCCACTTACGACGCCTTTTTCTAATTTCCCCTTCAGCTGGAAGTTGATTTGTCCTCTCCCACAAAAGTCTGTTGCTGATAGTATCCGGTCAGTGAATGTTGAGTATTTTGCATAGACAACTGTTTATAAATACTTATACCTTCTTGACGATGGATGTAATAGTTCTTCACGTTTCAGCTCCGTACAATAGGACTGTCTTGACGTTCGTATTAAAGATTCTCACTTTGAAATTACTTTGCATTTGTTTTGAATTCCATATGTTCTTCAATTGTAGAAATGCTGCCCTTGCTTTGACAAACCTCGCCTTTACATCTGCATCCGATCCTCCTTGTTCATCAATCATGCTTCCAAGGTGCGTGAATGTTTCCACCTTTTCCAGAGTTTCGCCAGCTATGGGTGGAGTTATATATGAAGTAGTGAAATTTAAAACTGTTATTGTGATCAACCAAAAAGCTCAATAATTTGCACAGTACGGAGTCAAGAAAATTGTTGAATTTCATTGAAACCATGAATTGATCAGTGTGAGATCACCAGTGAAAAGCTGGAATCACTGGATGGCCGTTTCGATTTAGTATGAAACTCTTCAGAAATGAGTATCCACAATTTTGTACATGGGATTCAAGCTAAGGACCTTCGGTCTAACGTAAACTCTTTACCTCAAGACCACTGAACAATAACCACAGTCTCATACTTAGAGTTACCATGTGTTCACTACTGACTACGTTTGAGAGATTATTCTCGGAGTTCTAGTGAAAAGCCTTGATCAGTGGAGTTCAACCGTGTTTAGTACGAGACAGTTACTCACCGAAGGCAATGGGAGATGGTTACGTAATATCATAAATTGACTGAATTTAGACATTAACACGGTTCTCTATCAGCTCAGTGATCTAGAGGTTATGTGTCCACGAGAGACTGGAGGTGCTAGGTTCGACTCCCGAGTGAGGAGCCCCATGCCGGGACGAAACGGCAGTTCAATGTTTCCAGGTTCTCAATGGTGGCATAATGTTGATCGGTTCATGATGTCAATGAAACAGTAGTTCTGTTACTTCTATTTCTTAAGTATTTCTGACAAGCTAACTCTTGACTAATCATATCCGAGCATTTTCTTGTAGCCTATTTGTCTTACAATTGGTTTGGTTGGCTTCAGGTATACAAAATTGATGGAACTAACTCATTTATTCTATGTAACTGTGAATTTACATACAATATGAATATTGACGAAATGACCCCATTAAATGTCATGTTGTTCATGATCTTCAAACCGAGTATAGGTCTCAGATTCATTCTGAGTAGCTCACTGATCTTTTAAGACGGTACCGTCGCAACTGTTTTCTTCTACTTTAAATATGCAGCGGAGAATTTATTGAATCTTCTTTTTATTGTAGAACATCAGCAAATGTAGTTAACATTCATAATAATTCAATCTAAATGTTATATCACTAAGTGAATTACGTAGGTTAACTATGAGAAATATTTATGGGCTAATATGATATGTATATTTCCTATTGTATAATTGTTAATTAACTAAAGCATCCATATTCGTGTCCCTCTTATTAAAAGCTTTATTTTGACCCATAGACTATTACTGTACGACTTAATTAGATATGAAATTTCGGGAACTAAGAATAACACGAGCTTAAATTATTATTATTGCTGTGGTAACCGTCCATGGAGATACAGAAAAATTGAACAGTACACTGAATGCAGCAGCACCGATTGGAGCTCATTATTCTACAAAAGAAATTTCTGGCAAATCTAATTGTCCAGATTCTCATGGTTTACCAGAAAATATGTTGCATGCATCATATGATAATCAAGAATCTAGAGCAGTTTTGATGGACGTTGATTATCATAGTGACTCATTATTTACTAGTGGTTTTCCCAATAAATAATGATGACAATGTTTTAGAAGAAGCAAACTCTGATCTCATGTCAAATGTCGATCCTCACGATCTCGCCAGTCTTAGTGGGTTCTCTGTTAAATGCGACGAACATGTTTTATATAATGTCACATTAATTGTAACCTGGGTATATGAGGATCCAACACTCTTTCGTGGGGAGGATAAATTCGGGAAACCTAAAATCTCCATATCCACTCCGGATCTTTCAAAAAAGGGAAGGTGTTGTATCCCGTGGAGATTTATGAATGGTAACTTTGAGAACTATTTATGGATCAAAATGATATGTATATTTCCTATTGTATAATTGTTAAGTGACTAAACTATTCATATTCATGTCCCTCTTATTAAAAGCTTTATTTTGATCTATAGACTATTACTGTACGACTTACCATTTCTGAGTTATCCCCAGTCCATTAATTATTGTTCCCCCTATTCGCAGCCACATTTGGCCAAATCTTGCACAAATGTTATTTTCTATTTTATGGTACAATGTGGTCTGTTTGATTGGTATATAAACCCAGTATGTTCGAGATATAATGATTCATATTGCAGAGGCTGTTAGTGGCGTTGTGGACTTAACTGGCTTGGCTGGGCAGAAAGCAGGACTGACAAGTACTCAAGACTGCTCATACGGTTTTGTATGTATCATCGGCCTGATCGATAATTCACTCCTCTTTAATTGGCCGCATTGTTACGTCATATATTAAACACGGGCACTCAGACATAAGTTATAACACTAAACAACTCTTAAACAAATAGGTTAATTACAACATTTATACAGTTGAAAAATAACTCGACCAAACATCCATGTAGGTCAGAATGAAGTTAGTATTCAACTTGATAATTTAATCAAAAGTATTCTCACCTCAGTTTCCACGACGCTGATATTGGTCTCCATTTGGAATCAATTTCAGGATGATTTAAATTATGCATTTGTTCCATAATCCATAAAACACAACAGATTTGTTTAAATATAATATCCCTATATGAAAAATTATTTTGATGAGAATAAAATTAGGAGGGGTTTTGTGGAGATTTCAGTATTTTCATAGTTAAAAGCGTAAGTGAACTGAAGCTTGACCACCAAGGAAAACCTTGAAGCACTGGACGGTCGTTTCGTTCTGTTATGGGATTCCTCAGTAGTGCACATCCACGGCCTCGCCTCGCCAGATTCGAATCCATGACTTATCGGTCTCGCTCGCGAGTACTTAACCGATAGACCACTGAGTCGGTTGGCGTCCGACGGTGTTCATGTCTAACTTCAGCCAATCCACGAAGTTGAGTAACCATTCCACCAATGTCTTCAGTAAGTTGTTGTCTGCCAACTGACCTGGTTGAAATCCCCTGGTTACTGTTTCTCACTTGAACTCCAGGAAATACCTTAAGGAGCCAGTCACTAGTGAGCACATGATAAGGGGGTTTTTGTGGAGTCCCGCAATAGGATGAAACGGCCGTCCAGTGCTTCCAGGCTTTCCATGGTGGTCTAGCTTCAATTGACTCATTCTTTCAACTATGAAAATAAAATTGTTGTTAAGGAGAATGAATTGCTCAAATAAAATTAGTCTTTCATCAATTATTCACTAAGATTACTATTATAGTAGATTAAAACCGAATGCGTAGATTGACATTGAAGAGTCTGACCCATTAAGATTGAATTAAGGTTATCAAATTGATTTTAAACAATCAATTATTAAAAGAATGGTTAATTATATAAATCATTATAACATCTTTGGAGTGATAAACATAATTGCTAGAATAGTTCATTTATTTTCAATATTACTCATTCGTTCAAAGTAAAGACCTGTATCAGGCATGGTTACTTACTCTCACCCTTTCTTTTTCTCCTGGCGATCGACTGGATCATGAAGACGTCAACATCTGAAGTGAAGCACGGGATACAGTAAACAAATAGGATGCAGCTGGACGATTTAGACTTCGCGGATGATCTGGCTCTTCTACCATACACGCAACAACAAATGCAGGAGAAAATGACTAGTGTAGCAGCAGCCTCAGCAGCAGTAGGTCTCAATATAAACAAAGGGAAAAACAAGACTCTCCGATACTATACAACATGCACCAATCAAATTACACTAGACGGAGAAGCTTTGGAGGATGTGGAAAGCTTTACATATCTGGGCAGCATCATTGATGAACACGGTGGATCAGATGCAGATGTGAGGGCGCGGATCGGTAAAGCAAGAGCAGCGTATTTACAACTGAAAAACACCTGGAACTCAAAACAATTGTCAACCAATATCAAGGTTAGAATTTTCAATACAAATGTCAAGACAGTTCTACTGTATGGAACGAAAAGCTGGAGAACTATGAAAGCCATTATCCAGAAGATACAGGTGTTTATTAACAGTTGTCTACGCAAAATACTTCGAATCCGTTGACCAGATACTATCAGCAACAAGTTACTGTGGGAGAGAACAAACCAGATTCCAGCGGAGGAAGAAATCAGGAAGAAGCGCTGGAAGTGGATAGGACACACTTTGAGGAAATCACCCAACTGCATCACAAGACAAGCCCTTACATGGAATCCTCAAGGTCAAAGGAGAAGAGGAAGACCAAATAACACATTACGCCGAGAAACGGAGACAGATATGAGAGGAATAAACAAAAGTTGGATAGAACTAGAAAAGAAGGCTCAGGACAGAATGAGTTGGAGAATGCTGATAGGTGGCCTATGCTCCATAAGGGCTAACAGGCTAGAGTAAGTAGTAAAAAGAAATTTGAATCAATAAATAAGACAATTAAAATACTATTTAATTTACCTAACTGAATCATCGTCATCATCATCATCATCATCATAATCTTTTTCCTTCTTATCCTCTTTGACCTCTTCTTTCGAAGTTATCGACTTATAGGTATCACCTAGTTGATTAGAATTTAATTCTTTACCAAAATCTGGTTTGCATATATTGAAAAATCTTGGAGTAAAAGGTCTTTGTGATTCAGTATACCATTGTTTATATTGTTTAAGACGTCGATGTTCAGTAGCTGAAGTGAAATGATTTTCAGATTGTCTAATGTCACTTGATAATTCTCTGAAATGGTTTGTAAAAACAAAATATTGTTAGATTTATAGGCAAAGATGAATAGTGGTTAGCAGTGGAATCCAGTCTGACGCGCATTTCGTCCAACCTGAGACTCGTCAGCTGGATACATTTGTATCTCAAAGTTGATCTCCACTCTGGGACTCGAACTCAGTACCGTTCGCTTCAAATATCATTGCATTATCTACTTAGCTGCTGAGTCCTGATAGTCTCTTGCTTGTGAAATGGAGTGAACTTTAAATTCACTTGGTACTGTTTACTTGAATCTTCTCATTAATGTTTGAGACTGCAATTGATCAGTCTCTTGTTGGCATAAGTGCATGTTGTGAGGATTATCTCGATATTGCCTAAAGTCACAAGCATTTTAAGCAAAGATGGATGGTGGATAGCAGTGTAGGGTAAAACACATGATCAATTAATTAATTCAATAATACATTTCAATAAGGATTTTCTAAAACTATATCAACCAATTGCAATTATGATATATGCTTCCATATGTTCACTAGTGACTAGCTTCTAGATGGATTTCCTATATCTCTAGTGAGAAGTTGTGACCAGTGGAGTCCAATCTGATTTGGGTGTGAGATAGTTATCCACCTCACACAATGGATAAAGCGTTGCGCATGATCATGAATTAATTAAAGTTTAACATCAACTTCTTTAGATGACGACTTAGTATCTAGAAGTGAAGTGTTCTTACGCATGACCGAAGGTCCTAAGTTCGAGTCCCATTTATGAGATCGTGGATGCGCACAGTTGAGGAGTCCCATTCTACCGGAACGAAATTACCGTCTAGTGCTTTCAAGTATTCAATGATGATCTAACTTAGATTGATTTGTGATTCAAACTCTGAAATTACTACAATCTTCATAAATTCCTATACTAATTTCAAATAAATACAAATACGAGTTGTATAGATGTATGTTAGAAGTATAATATCAACTTGTATATCAATTCAAATAATGGTTTGAATTATTTTTCCTGGTTAACGTTTTTTCTTAGCTAGTTAGTTTTCTACGGGATGGGGTCGCTAACCCCGTGCCTAACCCTCCACCTTTAACATAACTTGGGACCGGCAGTAGCTCCGGAGGGATTACAAGGGGAGTTCTATTCAGATAAGTAAATTAATAATAAAAAATCATTAACAGAAATTAACAAATTCATTTATTGTCACCAATCACTGAAACTCAATAAGTAAAATAATAGAATAAAAAAAAGAAAACATCAAACTTTAGGAGTAAATACAAGCATATATAATTAGCAAATAAATGTCTTTCAATAGTTGAGATCATGAGTCATTTAAAGCTAAACTCCTCAGCAGTGCCCATCCACGAGGACTCCCACAATACGAAGAAGGAAGGACCTTACTGCCGTCACACCTCTGTACAGTCAGCAGTACGACTTCGCCTTCGTACCTTGGGTTTTAGTCTTACCACTCTTCAACCGACCTTTCTGGCATGGTAGGACCTTGAGGAACGATTGTTCCAGCCAGTATAGCTCGATTAGTTCATCACGATAGGCAAGCCCGACCACCACATCAAGGTAGCAGCAACGGTCAGGTTGATGAGGTTGTGAATCTTCATCGACTGAGGTGGTTGGGCCACGTGTTACGTATGCCTGAACACCGATTACCACGACGCGCAATGCTGACTAGTATTGGGGATGGTTGCAGGAGAGTGAGAGGGGGCGGCCAAACCAAAACGTGGCATCAGTGCTTGAAGTCACTAACTTCTTATCTGAGTCATGTTGGTAGATGCAGACTACCTGGTTGGGGTCCGCGTGACTATCATGATCAGTGGTTGGAGATGCTGGCTGATATGGCTCATGATCAATCACAATGACGTAGGTGTATACACTCTTTATCTTCCCCTAGACCTTGAGATTAAAATTGCTTCATATCTTTCTTCCCATCCTTATATACAACCTATCTTTTATATATTACCATCACTAAATTAACTACTTCTATGAATCCGGTGTTTATCTTTTTGTGCTAATGAGGTATGGTAACTTTGACCAATGCATATATATGCCTGGTCCTACATTGTAGCTGACTAACTGACTATTCAAGTATTTGATTTAGGCTCTTAAATAGGAATCTTGTGTATCATTATCAGAATAGTATAATACTTACTGTGTTTTACTTAAAGGAATTTTCAAATCACAACCATTAGCAATTAAATGATTCATTAATTCACGTATTTCTGGTTCTTCATCAAGTAGATCATCTTCATCAATTTCATTAATTGTCTTTTCTATTGATTCACCTGATAGAAAATTCAAAGTAGAATGAATGAAAATTGTTAATATGAAAACACTTACTTGGTATTGTTTACTGGAATGCTTCCATTGATGTTTAGGACTGCGATTGATCAGTCTCTTATTGGAATATGTGCATCCTGAGCGGATTACCTCGGTACTGCCTTAATTCACAAGCATTCTAAGCAAAGATAGATGATGGTGACTAGCACTGGAATAAAGAACATGCGTTTCGTCCTACTTGGGACTCGTCAAGCTGGTAGCACTTGCATCTCACAGTTCATCTTCACTCTGTGACTCGAACCTAGTACCGCTCGCTTCAAACGCCATTGAGTTATCCACTCAGCTTCTGAGTCCCAATAGCCACTTGCTTGTAAAATGGAGTAAAGTTTGAATTCACTCCGTATTGTTTCTTTGAATCTTCCCATTCATGTTTGAGACTGCAATTGATCAGTCTCTTATTGGCATATGTGCATACTGTGCGTATTGTCTCCATATTTGAAACCACATCACATTGGATAATAAGGTAATATTACCAGTGTTTGTTTAAGGTGTGAAAAAACTGTTTTTGAATGAACAAAGAGAAGTGGGTAAATTTTCGTATGGCTAAGGCTTCAATAAACTTTAGTATACCCCCTTTTACACTTTTATACAACACCACAAAAGCCGAGTTAAGATCAATCTTATGGCCTGTTTCGATTATGTGTTTAGCAACAGAGGATGATGGATGTTTATCCTCTACTCTTATTGGGTCATTTGCTTCTATTTGTTTCTGCAACCATTTTAGTACATGTTCGCACGCTCTAATTTTCGGATCACGATTGCTCCACCCTATGTATGTGTGACCACACACACACACACATTTAAATTGGTAAACACACTGGGATGTGACACAATCATTTTCATGTCCTTTAGGTTTTGCATGAAGCATGAACCTCGTTCTTTCTTTGATAATGACCTTCGCTGCACAATACGTTTTGTTGATGACTGATTTAAGCCTTTGTTTCAATAAAAGACTATTAGGATCACCTCTAAATGATAAGGTGATGTAGACAGGCATTTTTTTCTGCCAAGGCTATGGTAGGTACTAGGCCAAAGCAGAGGAGTGTATTAACTTCTTAACACTTTTGAGATGGTGGAGAAGATTTGTAGCTCAGGTGAGTGACTTTGATGGAGTTTTGTTCTCTGAGCTCGATGGTTTGGACGTGGAGTCTCCATCGTTCTTCTGAACGACATCATCAGCACAAACTTCGGGTAGATTATAATTATTTTAATAATGAGTAAATATATAGTCAGCATGAATAATTTCAGGTTTAATTTGTTTATTCTGGTTAGCGTTTTTTCCAGTAAGGATTTCTTTTCTACATAACGGGGTTCCCAACCCCATGCCCAACCCTCCTCCTTGACCCTACCATGGGACCGGGAGTAACTCTAAAAGAGCTACTGGTGGATACTCAATGTTCGTTGGCCGGATATCATCAGCAATAGTCTACTGTGGGACAGAAAAAACCAGCTTCCAGCTGAAGAGGAGATTAAGAGAAGACGTTGGAAGTGGACAGGACATACACTACGGAAATCATCAAACTGCACCACGAGGTAGAAATGGTCACGCAATTTCATGGATTAATTCAGGTTTGACATTAACACTACTGGATGCCGGCCGGTTCAGTGGTCTACAAGTTAAGCCTTCGCGCGTGAGACCGAAGATGCTGGGTTTGATTTATGCGTGTTAGATCATGGATGCACACTGTCAAGGAGCCCCACAATAAGATGGAAAGGCCATCCAGTGTTTCCAGTTTATCAATCATAGTTTAACATCCATCGATTCATGATCTCAATCAAATACTTAATCATCTCCACAACCCCATATTGACACTAAACAACTCACCATTCGAATGATTTTGTTCATTTAATGTATATGCACGAGTTGGAGGTATGATTCGACTTTTTCTTGACTCTATAACTTGGTTATATAAATTCCAGAAGTTATATACCTGAAGAAATAAACGATATGAATTTCAATGAAATAAGTTTACAGATAGAATTTCAAAGTTTGAGATCATACACATACATAAACGAACTCTACAGTTCTGAATAGCTAAATCAAGTTAACGAATACATTCATTAAAATAGCTTCATGAGGGAATTCTCGGAGTTCTAGTGAGAAACCATGACCAGTGGAGTTAGTCCATGTCAGGTAGAGACAGGTATCTATCTACAATGGAAGATGGTCTTGAAATTTTATGGGTTGGTTCAGGTTAGACATTAACATCTTTGGATGCCGACTCCGTGGTCTAGAGCTTTAGCGATCGCACGTGAGATCGAGGGCCTTGGGTTCAATTCCTGTGAGTGGGATCGTAGATGCACACTGCTGAGGAGTCCCGTGCTAAGACGAAACTGCCGTCCAGTTGATAAGTCTTCCTAATTAAAAACTGTAATCGGATCTTAAGCTACTCTCGTAACCCCACAAGCTAAGTCGCAAAGTATGCCAGAAGCACTTTACTCCAAAGGTTCATTTATGCACAGAAAACATAGGGTTTTTATAGTATTTAAGAAGTCCTTGAGTTTTCCTGAAAATTCTAAAATACCATTAAACATAGTAACAGTGTAGTAATCAGTCAATCAGAAACTCTTTATGTGACTTTTCATTTTCGTGATGTTTCTAGCAAAACTTCTAGTCAAATGCCGATTGGATTAAATGCTTCTTAATGCTCCCTAAGCCTTTCTTATCTATTTTGAGCATTTGTCTGGATCTCTCCAACACAGTTTTTCCAGGTTTCCAATGGTGGTCTAACATCAATCGATCTTTGAGCGACTCTAAAGTAACTGAGAATGTTCCCCTAGTTACTAGGGCTAAATGAAGGTTTTAAGCCAATGTAAGGATTTCAGATTAAGGTTAGGAATTACATTTCGTGTTTTTTTTACGAACCGACATAAGCTCAAATGCCAAAACGATATTTAACCAAATGGTTGAATAAATTTCATACTAATATCCAAGACGCGTCATACTAAATCTGATTAGTTCGGCCATAATTTATGGTCTCACCTCTTATATTCAGGACATTAATCAGTGATGAAATCTAGAATGTTACCAAGAGAAGCATTTTGATGGAGTTTTCTTCTCTGAGCTGGATGGTTTGGTCACGGAGATTTCATCGTCCTTCTGAACAACAACAAAATTGAAGTGTACAGGATAAGCTATGAACCACATATGAAAAAATTCGAACACTTCACTTCTACCCGAAGTTTGTGCTGATGATGTCGTTCAGAAGGACGAGGATGAAAGCTTCACAACCAAACTATGCAGACAACAAAACTCCATCAAAATCATCCACCTGAGCTACAAATCTTCTCCACCATCTCAAGAGAAGCATTACTAGACTTACATAGTTGATAAAATCAAATCAAATGAAACATATAATAATTGCATACTTTTTGTATTATTTCTTGGTGTAGCATACCAAAGAAGCTTCTTCCATGTTTTACACATTTTGTCATATCACTAGAAAAGGAGACAAATTACTTTAAAAGGAGACACAAACAAAGGAATAGAAAACTACAAACTTCCTCTCCTATCTTATGATAACTATCAAATAAAGTGCAAAATTATCTGTTCAATAATTAGAAACAAACAATACTAAGTGAATTTGAACTTCACCCCGTTGTACAAGCAATTGGCTATCAGGACTCAGTAGCTGAGTGGATAACGCGATGGCATTTGAAACGAACGGTTCTGGGTTCGAGTCCCAGAGTGAAGACCAACTCTGAGATGAAGGTACATCCAGCTGACGAGTTTCAGGCTGGACGAAATGCGCATCAGACTGGATTCCACTGCTAGCCATTATCCATCTTTACAAAATTATCTGTTTAATAATTAGAAACTATTCAGTGGAGACCATGGATAAGAGTTATGCTTATGTTAACATGTATCACCAGGGTCAATCAACATCTTTCATAATGTAAGTGATTTGTAAGAGGGCAGAATCCAACAACAACAATCCACCCGGCATTCTTACATATTACTATTTAGCATCCGCTTAAACATACACTATTAAAAATTAATTCAGACCAGATCAAAATGCTACCATCTACACACATCCTCTACTTTCATAGACAATGGTTCACAGACATAGAGTAACAGTAAGTGAACTGAAGAGTAGTATATTCGTCCTTTGATTGTCAGTTGCACGCCTTGTCTATGCTATGAGTGATGCATGTTGGTTAAAAGTAAAATCCTTACAGATATTTCTTTGAACAATAATTCACCAGACTTGATGAGACTTCCAAGCTAAATGGAGAGAAATCTTATGACAATATTTTGAATGTACATTGAGATAAATTTACCCCAAACTTGTTTGTACTGTTAGTCAAGAGTTTTAGAAGACTTAGTAGTTTCTCAGCTTCTTTGTCAAACAGGACGCACTCTTAATCAAAAAGTTAGTTTACTAGAGAAATATAGATTCTAGTCTGAGTCATGTTGGTAGATACAGACTACTTGGTTGGAGTCCGCGCAACTATCGTAACCAATGATTGGAGACTCTAGGTGACATGGCTTAGAATCGATCACATCGTTGTAGCTGTAAACACATTTTTGCACATTATTCAAACTCATCTTTTCGTGTTCCGATAAACTAGGTAATAAGCGGTAACTATGTCAATCTTACAGAAGTAGTCGACAAATCGAAACGACAACTACAAGCATCAAAATATTGAGGTTGTTGCGAGATAACAAGTGTTTAATAAAAAACGCAAGAAGTAGAGATAAATTTCAAGAGTGTTAATAGAATGTGGTTACAATAATAAACGTATTGAATGTTGTAGATTAATGTAGATGCTAAGGGTTATCACAGAAACAAATAGGTGGGATCGTGGATGCGCATTGTTGAGGAGTCCCACAATAGGACGAAACGGCTGTCCAGTGCTTTCAGGTTTTCTACGGTGGTCTAGCTTCATTTAATTCATGATCATGTATGTAAAATTACTAAAATCCCCACAAAACCCCCTTGTGATAACGAATAGGTAATTTGATTTGTTTGACTAAAAATGATTAATAATGATATGAGCTACTGAAAGTTAGAAAGTAGTATAGTTTATACAGGTCAAAAGGCAAAGATAAGAATGGAGAAAAGATGGAAAAAGAAAGAATAATTAGAAGGTAGTCTCATCAATAGCTGGCCTTAATAATACCAGTTTTTTGGTGAGTCTGTCTTGTGATACTAACTGCTCCCGCCTATTCTATTCATTTAGCTTTCATTTCCCACCATTATTCATAATTATTGCATCGTTTTCATTCTTCGTCACGTTCGGAGCCTGGAAAGATGAGTTTCCGAGCATCTGTCAACAGGGTATATCTCACCAACTAACTTTTTGCTTCAAGATTTGATATGCATCATAGCTTTATTTACAGATTCTTGGACAGTGTAAACATTATCTTGGCTAAGTGCTTACTTAACTGCTTCTGAAATGAACACAATTAGTTCTCATCTTTGGGTTAAGCTATAAAAGGTTTTCCTGTGGTGATTCTTCTACATCCAGTAGTGTGCATGAAGACTCATCCTCGTACCAGATCAAGAAACTAATTCAAAGATGTGCTCCATAAATTAAAGACTTTCCTATCTCAGACCTCCAGCTGATGACGATATGGTCTTTTATGGTGTGTACATGTCCTCTATATTTCTTATTACTTATTTAATTGTAAAGCCCATCAGCGAGTATCTGCCGAATTGCGGCCCAGGAGAATTCGGTTTGATTTTAAACTTAACTCTCCATCTAAGCCAGCAACCCTATGAGAGTTAGTAGTCAATTCTTCAGATATACGAGCTTCAGATATATAGAGCTAGTCCCTCATATTATCTCAGTCAGTCAGTCAGCGACAACGTAGGACCAGGCACATTTATGCATCGGTCCAAGTTGCCATACCTCATTAGCACAACAAGATCAACACCGAATTCATAGTAGTTAATTTAGTGGTGGTAGTATATAAAGAAAGGTTGTATATAAGGATATAGTATAGGAAGGAAGACAGATATGAAGCAATTTTAATCTCAAGGTTTAAGGGAAGATAAAGAGTGTATGCACCTACGCCATTGTAAACGATTCTGAGCCATGTCACATAGAGTCTCCAACCATTGGTTACGATAGTCACGCGGACCCCAACCAGGTAGTCTGCATCTACCAACATGACTCAGATAAGAAGTTAGTGACTTCAAGCACTGATGCCATGTTTTGGTTTGGCCGCCCCTAACTCTCTTCCAACAATCCCCTACACTAGTCAGCATTGCGCGTCGTGGTAATCGGTGTTCAGGCATACGTAACACATGGCCCAACCATCTCAGTCGATGAAGATTCATGACCTCATCAACTGATTAACCATCATTCCCTAATACCCTGCGTCGTAACTCACTATTACTTACCCGGCCATCCCAGCAAATGCGAGCAATATTTCTAAGGCATCTGTGGTCAAATACTAGTAACCTACGAGTATCTTCTACTCTTAATGGCCATGTTACACAGCCGTAAAGTAGAACAGAGCGAACTGCTGCGCAGTATACTCGTCCCTTAATTGATAGACGGATATCTCGTCTTCGCCATAGGTGACGTATGTTGGCAAAAGCCAAACGAGCTTTTTGAATCCGTGCTGTGATTTCGTCAGAAACCAACCCATTAGGACTGATCAGACTTCCAAGATAAGTGGAGTTGTCAACGCGTTCGACTACTTCACTCCCTATCTTTAGTTCAGGTGTTGACGCAGGCCAGTCCTGGAGTAACAATTTACATTTAGATGGGGAGAAACGCATCCCAAACATCCTGGCATTATTACTCACTTCCAACAGAAGACTCTGCATTTTGTCAGCGTCTTCACCAAACAGGACTATGTCATCTGCGCATTCTAAGTCGATAAGTTAACCCTCTTGGTAGAAGATCAATTCCTGAAAATTCAGTCGACGAGAGTGTTATTTCCAGTAACAGGTCTATAATGAAGTTGAACAAAAATGGGGATAGTGGACAGACTTGACGGACACCACTTGAGGTGGTAAAATCATATGACAGTTCGCCATAAGCTCTCACTCGACTGGTAGTGTTCGAGTAAAGAGCCTTCACAAGGTTTATGTACTTCTGAGGTACACCTTTCAATGATAGACACTGCCACAGAACCTCTCGGTCTACAGAGTCAAATGCTGCTTTTAAGTCAAGAAAAACTATCATTGTCGGACGCCGATAAGCGTGTCTGTGCTCTAAAACTTGACGAATGGTGAACATATGGTCGATACAGCCACGACCAGGTCTGAAGCCAGCCTGATTTTCTCGTGTTTGCAGTTCACAAGTCTTAATTAGGCGCCCGATAATTATTGAGGCTAGTATTTTAATGCTAAGTTAGTCAGACTAATCCCTCTATGGTCATCACAGGATGATTTTGGCCCCTTTTTATATATTGGGACAATCAGAGATTGTGACCAGTCAGATGGGATTACGTCCGTCTCCCAGATTTTAGCCAGAATATTAGTCAACCTAATCGCTAAAATCGGACCACCATATTTAAAGACCTCTGGAGCCAATCCATATGGACTAGCTACTCTTTCTCGTTTCAGATTACCTATAGCCTTTTGAACTTCAAGTAGGGTCGGAGGGCCTAATTCAATGTTCCATTCAGGTTTTCTGGGAGTAGTGGGTAGTTGTGCAGTAGCTGAAGGCCAGCTAAACTGCTCCTTAAAGTGTTCCGCCCATCGTTCTAAACGTTTGGGTTGAGAGCAGATAAGGGTTCCGTCTTTTTCCGAGATTGTCTCACTTACACTTGACTTCTTAATTCCGGTTTCTTTTGTTAGTCTGAATAGTTGCCTGGTGTTGCCTACAGCCACTGCCTTTTCCATCTCTTTTGCTTTCGTTGCTCACCACTGCTCACGATCGTTCCTTAGGCTTTTAGTTGACCTAGATCTAATTTGTTTACGCTCTTCGTCGTGTTCAGAGCCTGATGGGATGAATCCATCAGTGAAATAGACTTAGAAGAAATCCACTGGTTTTTTGGAGTCTTATGGTTTAAGTAACGAATAGATGTTACTGCTGTCTCCACAGCTGTTCATGTCTTTCCAAGCAGCATCTGGGTCAGTCTCGTTTACAGAACTGCCTAGATGTGAACTCAGTTGTTTCTGGAATTCGCATTTGGCTTTCTCATCTTCCAGTTCAATCCTAATGGGTCTTCTTAGTGTACTTTTCCTGCGTCCATTGAGGCGCAGACAAATGCGTGCTCGTATTAAAGCGTGATCAGAGTCTAAACAAGTATTTCAATACGAGCGACAATCTTCTATTGAGCCTCTCCAACGATGACTGATGACAATATGGTCTATTTGAGTCCATCGTTGGTTTGGTGAAGGTGGTCGCCATGTTAGACGATGTCTCTCCTTATGCTTAAAACTAGTGCTTGCTAAAAATAAACGATTGTCTGAGCATAGTTGCAACAGACGATCACCATTATCGGTTCGTTGAGCCGGAATACTAAAACACCCACCTAAATGTCGTTCTGTTTGATTTAAGCTGCCTACCTGGGCATTAAATTCACCTGCTACGACTACTATGTCTGAGCGCTTAGCTTTCTGAAGAAGCTCAGAGAGTTTTCTGTAAAAGTCATATTTCACTTCATCATGGCTGCAGTCAGTGGGAGCGTAGGCAGAAACGACGAAAAGGCAACGACGAAAAGGCAACGACGTGTGTCCCTATCCTTCCGAGTTCATACGGAGCCATTTAGCCAAACAGCAGATCGGAGACTGTTAACGGGGATCCATTCTAATAGTGCCTGTTCTGCCCTTGTACTTAATGCTATGCCTACACCTGCAAGTCCACGAGAACTAGCCAACGGGTCGCCAGATACACGGAGGGTGTATTTCATTGGCTGTCCATTTTAGCGAGGTGAGGTCAAGTGAATGACCACACTAGGATCCTGTATGCGTGTTTCGGAGACACAGCATACATCAATGGTACGAGATTCTAGGGTTCTAGCTAAGGAGGCCTGTTGACCGATTTAACTTAAAGTACGTACATGGAAGGCTCCCATGTGTAGTTTGGAGCGAGGTTTTAGTAGACCGGGGACAGCGTTTTGCGCACTAGAATCGTTGGCCATGGTGACACTTGAGGAGGAAACCGGAAGAGGAAGTTTAGTGTTGAAATTCAAGGTAGAAGGAATAGTAGGAATTGAAGAATGAGATTGATTATGAATACAGTGGTCTTGAGTGCTGTTAGAGGTATGAGGGCAGTTATCACTTCCCGGTTGCCCACATCGTGGAAGAGTTCTTCTAATGGTACCTGAAAAGGAAATTGGGTTAGAAGTGGTCTTAATGACCTGAGAGCGTGACCGCAGTGCCCAAGGGACAACTGCTTGAGGTCGGTCATACACGACCTTTTTGAGGGTAGTTGTGTTAGCTCCGTTCTTCAAAGGACCTTACCGCCGGAGACGGATATCCGTGGGATAAGGCGAGGGGTGCATTTTTAGAGTCGACCTTTTCTAACCCCACCCCTCCTTGTAGGAAGGCAGCATCGCTGTCATGCTGGTTGTTTGAAGGAAACACCTTACTGCTGTCATACCTCTGCAGTACGACTTCACCTTCGGACCTTGGGTTTGCTGCTTTTAGTATTACCGCTCTTCAACCGACCTTTCAGGCATGGTAGGACCTTGAGGAACGATTGTTCCAGCCAGTATAGCTCGATTGGTTCATCACGATAAGCAAGCCCGACCACCACGTCAAGGTAGCAGCAACGGTCGGGTATAATGGTGAGATCATATCAATTACCAAACTTGGATCCTCTATCTAAGCTTTCGAGGAGCACTGTATACCAACGACACGAGACTGTATAGTCCTAGATAATGAAAGTTGTCTTCCAATACGCGTAGAGTTCAAATACTGGTAGCATAGTTTGATAAAGCAAGGAATAACGGTTAACCGAATTGAATCGCTAGCGATTGTGGTGGGTAAACCAAAAGAGCAAGCTGGAGGAGGGTATAAGAAGAAATGTAAGGACGTGAAGAATGGATATGAATAAAGTAACTCCCAGTGATGTTTTAAATGTGTAGGGAGGTGTTACTACCCGGCTCGTCACCCAGTGGAAGGATGCTTCTTTCTAAAGGAATTGAATAAATATATAGTTGTGCCAACTTGAGAATGTGACTACGGAACTGAAAGACTGATTTCTAAGAATCAGACAGGAATGCTCATTTTAAAAACAGTTTTAGATTTATTAGCTTCATACTTTATAGACCAAACACCCGTAAGTATGTGGGTTAAGGTAAAGTTTGTTTAATTTGGAGTTAACTTTCTATAGTCCCTATATCTGCTATGGGGACGTATAATCATTGTGCATTAGAGTTAACCTCTAGAAACACCTTATTATCATCAAACCTCAGCATGATCAATAAATCCAGATTGCAATCAGTCCTTTATTTTCTTATTCTTCTAACTTTACCTCTAACCATTTCACCTACCTAAGATGGTATGAATTAGAGGTTCAATTGTTGCAGCCAGACTTGGACACTATAGTAGACAATCTCAATTAGTGAGTTCAAGTAGCATCATACTTGGATATTTAAAGAGCCAGATTTTCAGCTCCAGTTGACTAACGAAGTACCATAACCTTATCTCATGTCATCGCCAAGTTTATGTTTCATTTCTAACGAGGTTAGTTACATAGATTATGGATTTCTAGTAACAGTTCTGATCCAACAAAATAATCAGTTGTCTGATCAAAGAATTTAAACCAAATAGCAATACGAGACGAAATAAGCTTCTACGCTGATGATAAACTACTAGAAGTATTCATTCACATTAAACCACTTCATATTATTTTCTCAGATAATTTGGTTAAATCCTTCCATGTTAAAAGTAAACACCAGCTGGATGTACCTGCATCTCAAAGTTGATGTTCACTCTGGGACTCGAATACAGTATCGTTCGCTTCAACAGCCATCGCGTTATCCACTCGGCCACTGAGTCGTGATAGCTACTTGCTTTTGCAATGGAGTGAAGTTTAAATTCATTTAGTATTATTTGTTTGAATCTACCCATTGATGTTTAGGATAACACAATGGTGTTTGAAGCGAAAGGTACTGGGTTTGAGTCCAAAAGTGAACATCAACTCTGAGATGCAGGTACACCCAGCTGATGAATCCCAAATAGGACGAAACGCGCATCCTGGATTCCACTGCTAGCCTTTATCCATCTTTGCTTGCAGTTCATTCTGTTTAATACTACGAGCATAGTTTTATATCTACTGAGAATTTCATTTTTAAAAGTTTTTTTGATATAAATAAGAATGAACGTACTTGGATTGCTGAATAACTTTCTTCAGATCGACCAAGCCCCGTTTACATCTTCTTTCCATGTATGCAGAACCTGACTTCGGAAGACAAATCAATCGAATATTATCAAATAGTAAGTTTGATCATTAATGTTTGTTTATAATCAGAAGGAGTTTTGTGGAGATTTCAATATTTTCATAGTTGAAATCATGAGTCAACTGAAGCTAGACCACCATGGAAAACCTGGAAGCACTGGAAGGCCATTTCGTCTTAGTATGGGATACAGATGTATAATTTAAGTCATCCTGAACTTGATTCCAAATGGAGACCAATATCAGCGTCGTGGAAACTGAGGTGAGAATACTTTTGATTGAATTATCAAGTTGAATTCTAACTTCATTCTGACCTACTTGGATGTTTAGTCGAGTTATTTTTCAACTGTATAAATGTTGTAATTAACCTATTTGTTTAAGAGTTGTTTAGTGTTATAACTTGTGTCTGAGTGCCCATGTTTAATATATGACGTAACAATGCCGCCAATTAAAGAGGAGTGAATTATCGATCAGGCCGATGATACATACAAAACCGTATGAGCAGTCTAGAGTACTTGTCAGTCCTGCTTTCTGCCCAGCCAAGCCAGTTAAGTCCACAACGCCACTAACAGCCTCTGCAATATGAATCATTATATCTCGAACATACTGGGTTTATATACCAATCAAACAGACCACATTGTACCATAAAATAGAAAATAACATTTGTACAATATTTGGCGAAATGTGGCTGCGAATAGGGGGAACAATAATTAATGGACTGGGGATAACTCAGAAATGGTAAGTCGTACAGTAATAGTCTATAGATCAAAATAAAGCTTATAATAAGAGGGACATGAATATGAATAGTTTAGTCACTTAACAATTATACAATAGGAAATATACATATCATTTTGATCCATAAATAGTTCTCAAAGTTACCATTCATAAATCTCCACGAGATACAACACCTTCCCTTTTTTGAAAGATCCGGAGTGGATATGGAGATTTTAGGTTTCCCGAATTTATCCTCCCCACGAAAGAGTGTTGGATCTTCATATACCCAGGTTACAATTAATGTGACATTATATAAAACATGTTCGTCGCATTTAACAGAGAACCCACTAGGACTGGCGAGATCGTGAGGATCGACATTTGACATGAGATCAGAGTTTGCTTCTTCTAAAACATTGTCATCATATTTATTGGGAAAACCACTAGTAAATAATGAGTCACTATGATAATCAACGTCCATCAAAACTGCTCTAGATTCTTGATTATCATATGATGCATACAACATATTTTCTGGTAAAACATGAGAATCTGGACAATTAGATTTGCCAGAAATTTCTTTTGTAGAATAATGAGCTCCAATCGGTGCTGCTGCATTCAGTGTACTGTTCAATTTTTCTGTATCTCCATGGACGGTTACCACAGCAATAATAATAATTTAAGCTCGTGTTATTCTTAGTTCCCGAAATTTCATATCTAATTACCCTGTTATATGATAAGTCATTTATGGCTCTATGATTTTTAGTTGTTATATTTGATGTTCTACAGTATTATCTTGCAAATTTTGTTTACTTGCAACACTTTTTACGATCTTAATAAACCTCTGTGAATCTCTACTCAACCGTAATAATACATATGATAGGCAGTAAGTAGCTGATGGTGAAGTAGCTGGACAGAATCAAATCACGTCATTCCTCTTGAACCTTCATTGGTGCCTTCTTTAAGATTATAGTAATGACATTATCTCTGGTAGCAATGCCATTAACTCCGCCCGTAGCTCCTCCGGGGGCTACTGTCGGCCCCAAACCCTGGTAAAGGAGGAGGGTTGGGCATGGGGTTAGCTACTCCATCCCATAGAAAACCAACCTTCTAAAAAACGCTAACCAGAAAAAATTATTCAAACCATTTAAACTCTGCCCTGGGAGTTGAAGGAATAATTATGACGTCACATGATGAAAGCCGAGTTCCTTCGGAAGTCATGAGGCCGATGCACCTTCTAAAAACCAGAGCGACAATTTTTATAGGTGCATGGAACATCCGTCCGGACAGTGTGGGAGATCGGAAGAGTCTTCCAAATCGCTGCTGCAGTAATGTCATTCCTTTGATACTGAAAGTGTTTTTTATTTCCAGATCATCCTTATTGTCAATTCACTGTATAGTTTGTTAAGTACGGTGATTAAGTTGTCATTAAAGTAAAAGGGTTAATGAGTACAAAACAACAAGTTGATTCAACTGAGTGAAAATGTTAATAATAATAACATATTCATAACCAATTATAATGAACTTTTGTTTACCTGTGATGAATAAGTTCTAGGTTTATTGTTCATTCCAACTGGTTTAGGACGCAGTGGTTGACAACTTTTTTCAATAGATTCACTTGATAAACTAGTTTTGTTAAAGGTAACTAAATAAAGAAAATTGACTTGTAAAAGACTGTACATGTATACATTTCCCTATAATTCTTTAACTAAGACTATTTTCTTATTTATTTAGCATAACTTTTAGCTGTTTATATATCATTCAACAATTATACAAGTGCTCGAGCGCAAAACTGATAGGTCCTGGATTCGAATCTCGCGAGGCGGGATCATGGATACGCACTGCTGAAGAATCCCATGATAGGACGACACGGCTGTCAAGTGCTTCCAGGTTTTCTAAAGTGGTCTAGCTTCAAGTAATTCATGATCTGAACTATTAAAATTACTATAGTATCCACAAAAGCCCTTTTAATAGTTATACAAGCCTTTAGTAATTTCTACTCGTTGACCTCAAGAACAGAATTTTAATATTCATATCAACTAACCTATAGGTGAAAAGTTGGCAAACTGATTAATTATATATCCCAAATACTGTCCTTTAATGTAATGCCCAGAGAATTTTTTATACTTCAGTTTAGGTTGATTTGGTATTGCTTTTCTGTTTACATTTCTAGATCAAGGTAGTTTATTTACAATGAGGTTATATCTTATCAATTTGAATAGAGCTAGCTGAGCAAGAATATCATAAAGAGTGATGACTGTCGCTTATTGTCCACTAGTAGTAATCTTGTCAGCGCTTTCGGACACTTAATTCTAACCTACTTGTTTGAGAAATTACATTTCATTTCTTTCGCTAGCACTCAACCATTTCAACTTATTCTTTGGCACCCAAAAGTATAATTCAAAATGATTCACATGACATAATGTAATGTTTGAAATCCTAGAACTCAAAAATATAGATCTAACTTTTTGAGATCTAAGGGTATTTTGAATAGTTCACAATGACAAGTATTAGTCTATCAACCAAACAAACTGATCCCCTTGATAAATCTCATCTTCCTTAGAACTGAGATATCTGCGATTTGAACGAAAGCATTTTAATGTCAAGGAAAACATTGTGGTCGGTATGGACCAACAAAGATGGTTAGTTTAATATGGCTCTTATAATATGGTCTTTCTATCCAAAAAATAACTTAGTTTCAGTCTAAGCTGGAGGTATCAATCATCTTAGTTACTAGTATCTTCATACACACCAAAATATACAAAAAAATGACCTCCTTATTTAAAAACACACCCTTACACTGTTCTTCATCACAACTTTCGCCTTCAACACCTTCAGTGCATTCATTTGACTCATGTCCATGCAGTATGTTCTGTACATAAAATGTAAAAAGATACCATAATTAGCATAAAAATAGTTCTAGTAAGAACGAATAGATAATGGCATGTTTTACTGATTGGTTTGTACTGATATTGGTGACTTCTGACAGCAATTTATCAAATAAACTTCAGAAACTATGCAAAGTACTATCTGTATTCAAGAAATTACGTGCTTCTTCAACCTACTTCTAGTCAATTTATTTATGACAAGAGTTTGAAGGATAGTAGAGACGGCCTAACGGATCTAATTTAGTCAATGTGATCGTGGTCAAGATAGCAACGACAAATTCTGTCGACGATTTTTAAATATTTACATTACGACCGATAGAAGAGATGCCAAATATGTCCATCAACTGGAAAAAGGTAAACCTAGTCATTTTAAAGGTAATTTGCTCTCTGTATTTTGATAGAAGGGGTTTATCGCTAAATTTATTCAAAATATAGATCAGCTTCGTTCTAACAGGCGGTTCATTCGTTTCAAGCAAGTTAGTGGGATCCACTAACATCAACATAGGAGACTAATTTTCATTCGATTAATGTGGAGTTGAGATATTTCTTGACAGCCATGTCAGTGTTAATGGTTTGAATATTTTTTCTGGTCAGCGTTTTGCTAGCGTGATAATTTTCTACAGGATGAAGTCATTAACCCCATGCCCAACCCTCCCCTTTCAACTGGGCTTGGGACCGACAGTAACTCTAGAAGACGTCTGACATTGTGGGTGGGAAAATATGATGGAAAGTTCTTCGAAACTACGGAGTTCCTCAAACGATTGTCAACATTATCCAGAACTCATACGACGGATCACAGTGCAAAGTAGTGCATGGAGGACAGCTGACAAATGCATTCCCAGTATGGGCCGGATTCAGACAAGGCTTTCTACTCTCCCCCTTCCTCTTTCTTCTGCTGATTGACTGGATTATGAAGACTTCGACATCTGATGGAAAGCACGGAATACAATGGACAGTACAAAATCGGTTAGACGATTTGGACTTCGCAGATAACCTAACCCCCCTATCTCATACACATGGACAATTACAGACGAAGACAACAAATGTAGCAGCAGCCTCTGCATCAATAGGCCTCAACATACACAAGGAAAAAAGCAAGATTCTTAAATACAACATGGAGAACGCCAGGCCAATCACATTTGATGGAGAAACTCTGGAAGAGGTGGAAACATTCACGTACCTGGAAAGCATCATTGATGAAAATCGAAGATCAGATGCAGATGCGAAGGCGAGGATTGTCAAAGCAAGGACCGCATTTCTACAGATGAAGAACATATTGAACTCAAAACAACTCTCAACTAACTTCAAAGTCAGAATCTTTAATACGGACGTTAAGATAGATAGTTATAATGTATGGAGCCGAAACGTGGAAAACTATTACATCCATCGTCAAGAAGGTAGAAGTATTTATAAACAGTTGTCTACGCAAAATACTCAACATTCACTGACCGGATATCATCAGCAACAGCCTTCTGTAGGAGAGGACAAATCAACTTCCAGCTGAAGAGGAAATTAGGAAAAGACGCTGTAAGTGGATAGGACATACATTAAGGAAATCACCAAATTGCATCACGAGACAATCCCTAACTTGGAATGGTGAAGGTAAACGGAAAGGAGTAAGGCCAAAGAACACATTCCGCTGGGAAATAGAAGCATATCTGCAAAAGATGGATAACAACTGGAAAGGATTTCCCAGGACAGGGTTGTATGGAGAATGCTGGTGGCGTGGCCTATGCTCCTCGACGAGGTGTAACAGGCATAAGTAAGTAATTTTAGTATAAATATATTATCGATAAAAATAGTTAAAAAGCAGGTCTAGTTGATTTCATATTATTGAGGACTTTTTGGCTTGCTTTATTACAAACATTACTTTGAAAAAGAGATGTGAATAAGTTGTTATCCCTCTTCGTTGGTAAATCTTTAAGTATAAGTTCCTTTGGGCAGGATTAGGTACTTAATCCAAGAACTATATCTCGCGGACTAGGCGCAAAATGCAAGAAGCACTATTTGGTTAGCTTTTTTATTGAAATGTACATTTATTAGATTGATGTTTATCTCAGGATTATTGGTTACAGACTAGAACTTAGAAACAGAAACAAATTGCTTGATATGAGCAATCGAAACAACCAAAACTAAGAATTTGATAAGTATAGCGCTTAAGTTTGCTTTTTGGTAACAAAACACAATTTTCTAATGTTAGTTGAAGTATTTTGAGTGGTATGCAGGTCTATTTTTACATATGGGTTGGAGTTATGGTCTACATACTATGCCTTTAGCCTTGCCACCTGCTGCATGTGCTGTTTAGTATAAGAGGGCCTATTTAAATTGATAACCGAGAAAACTTGTATTGCTGCAGATCAATTTGACCACGTGAATGTATTTACAATCACACAGGTTCAGTCAGGGTCATAAACGTTTACTAACTATACGGGACTGAGTGAAGTCTATGTAGTATCGATATGCACATCAAATGTCACCTACAGGACGTTGAGGAATGTATCCAAGAGTACTCTTGATCAAAAGTGTTGGATCGACGATCAGGGGATGTCCTAGCTCCCTGTAGGCCAGATTTGTGGGAGCGTATAAACCCTCGAGTTGTTTCTGGCAGCATCTTCGTTGAAAATTATTGCGACGTACCTTTGTTAAAATAGATAGTATCAATATTAACATACTTCTGATCTAGATGGAGGTGTGAAAGAACAAATTTCGAAGGTCCTTGTTTGGACCTTAATGGGACAGTCCATTTGTATTGATGCTTGACTCCGTCGTTAGCGTTACTGTTGAATGGCATATTCAAACAAAAAATGACTTCGGACACCACAGGTCGTGAAAAAAACATCCGATTTAAAATCGTCCTGCGAAACTTCCTCATTTAAACATTTTTGATTTCCCTACCACACTTTTATAGAGTTTTAATCAAGGCGATCTCACATTTTCAGATAATTCTCAAGCGGCCAATAAATGGAAAAGAAATGCGAAAAAAGGTTAAATAATTGGGACATTCCTTTAGAACATGGGATAAAGGTGACGAGGAAAGAATTCAGAATTTTTCACTACTGTCGCTCTATGTTTCAAATGTCTCTAAATTGTCTACTTTTCGTCTGAATGAAATCCATGATTTCCAGAACGAACTCTAAAGGGCTGATGTTCCACTTTTTCGGTACGCTTCCACCCAATCTTTTGTTAAATTAGTCAATTGATGTTGTGGATACCAGATTTAAATTCATTGGGTTGCAAGATCTGGTTGCTTGGCGGATGAATGTGTATCCCTTGGGTGGTCCAAGTTATTCTAGCCTAGTTAAAAATGAAAACATAATATAACATGTTCGCGATCGCTTTATATTATCCTTTGGTATTTAAAGTGCCATACAAATGTGAAGATATCACCTATCAGACAGGAGCCTACTGCCTATGCACGATCTTCTGATCTAAACTTTCCAGGGCTCTATACATTGCAACAAACTTATTTTTATTCCAGCAATAGTTAGTGCTAAGGCCTATATCGTTTCGAGCAGCCAAGATTATCCGTTCGTTTTGTAATGCTCATAAATAGCACCATATCAAGTATTTTTGGGTGTTTATTCGTTCATTTATTAGGTGTTGGCAGCGTAGTGGAAATTGCATTTCATTCCCTAATTTTCACAATATCGTGTCTGTTATCTGCCGTATCTACAGGTATACGTTATTTACCGATAAGTATCACTAAACGAACGCTCAGTTAGACTTCCTAAAAGCTTTTAAAAGTCCCAGTCTAAATCTACACGACAATTTGAACAGGAAAGGAAAAACACGAAGTTTGCTAATAGTTACAAGAGACTCTGGGTTTCTAGAGATTAATAGAGCTATGCTCAATATATTAACAGTGTAGGCGAATGTGACTCTTTTGTATTGATGACTGTTTTGATTTTGAATTCCAAATGCAATACATTCGTTTGTGCTCATCTAGTACTTCTTGATTAAATTGCGTTATTCTTAAGATTACTAGTTTATACTATAATTCACGTACTCTTAAACATCTCATTGGCGTCACAATGGAGCCTGTAATAAAACGTTTGGGTATACATTCAGATTTCAGTGCTTTTGAGGATTACATCGAGAGGTTTGAAATCTGGGCTACGACCAAGGAAGATGATGAAGATTTTAATATTGTGACACATTTCCTTACATTTATCGGAAGAGAAGCATACAGCCTTATAAAGACTTTGGCACTTCCAGACAAGCCGATTTCACTCTTTTATGTAACTCTTGAACAACTACTGCTGGACCATGTAAAGTATGCAAATTTCGAATGTGGTGAAGGAGAAAAATCCGATAAAATGACTTGCCAGAACATCAGAAATTCCACTGCTTTACTACCTCGTCGCAGTCCAATATGTAGTCTAGGTTATTTAGATAATAATTCATTCAGAAGTTGCGAATCAGGTCACGAAGATGAGCACAAGTTAGGTAAATGCTTGTTCTGTGCCGAGTTTCACCCATGTAATTCATGTGTATTTCATAATTCTAAATGCTCTAAATGTGGTAAAACTGGACACATTCAGTTAGTTTGTAATACCATGGTACATCTCACTGAAATTATTGCTAAGGCGGATGTTTCTAATGATCAGTTATCTTTATCCGAGTCTTCTAGAAGCGGTATAGAGTCACATAGCAGTTCAGAGTTGAATGAAACCTAGAATCACTGTGAGACAAAAGTTTCCGATCAACCAACTTCTTATCACATTTCTCGTGTTATTGTACCAGATGCGGTTTGTCATAATCAGTCACATATTTCTGATGAAAATACATACAACTCTGAGAATAAAATGTTGAATAAGTCAAAACATAATCAAAAATCGGATTCAGTTTTGGTAGGTGCAGATTTTTTTAATGATTCATTATTCTCTAATGAAAATCCTAATCAATTTGAGGGGAATATTTCAGAAAAATTAGATCCTGGTATCTTGTCAAGTGTCAGTGGTCTTCACAAGGGATTTAACTCCAATGATATTCCTAAAATATATGACAAATGTGTTCGGAATGAGTCGAATTCTAGTCACATTTCTGGTGTTATTGTATCAGATGTTGGATATTCCCATGAACGATGTTTGTTGAGTAGAATCTCTAGTCAGCGGTATGATGATACAGAGGGGATAGCAAGTTTTCCTGAAGCAATCAGAGAACCAGCTTGCCTAGAAATGGAGTTTGCACAGGCAGAGAATCTAAATCAAGTCTAAGATTATCTTAATGAGTATGTGGCAGTTGTATGTTTTCCACTTGATGGTTTTGAGGGTGAATCATCAAGCCTAGATGAATCACATTTGTTAACTACATACGTCGATGTATATCTATCTTCGAATATGAATGACGAAAAGAATATGTCTCATAATTTTTGTGCAAGTCAAATTCATATAATGGAATACCCCAAATTATATATTAGTGTACATCCCCAAATACTCACATACAGTAATCGAAGCTTGAGATTTGACAAGATAATGAAAATTTGGAATGTCAAATTGATTATACTACAATTCAAACACTTCTGATCATCATAGTGAATGTGTTGGATAATATTAAGTAGTAGTAGTAGTATAAACTAGTAATCCCAGGAATAAAGTAATTTAATCAAGAAGTATTAGATGAGCACAAACGAATGTATTGTATTTGGAATTGAAAATCAAAACAGTCATCAATGCAGAAGAATTATTGGTTCGTACAAACATCACATCCTCCACAGCACAAATTGGAGTGTAAGTGTCTGCAATCCACTGTACATCTTTTTCTTAAGTTCATCTTACGTCTGTACAACAGTGTATGGGATGTATACTATGTATTATCTAGGTCCTGGAATTGCATACAATCATCCTGTCGGTTGTGTAGTGAAACCACTGATATCTGGAATTTGCATCATAGACTTTCTAACACTATCCTCCCCAAAGAAATAATGTTGGGTCCTTACCGATGAATGTTATAATCAATTTGACATTCCAAATTTTCATTATCTTGTCAAATCTCAAGCTTCGATTACTGTATGTGAGTATTTGGGGATATACACTAATATAACATTTGGGGTATTCCATTATATGAATTTGACTTGCACAAAAATTATGAGACATATTCTTTTCGTCATTCATATTCGAAGATAGATATACATTGACGTATGTAGTTAACAAATGTGATTCATCTAGGCTTGATGATTCACCCTCAAAACAATCAAATGGAAAACAGGATTTTGTTGTAAACCAATCGCTGTATTTATTTACAACCAGCTGTTTATGAATTCGCTGACTTCGTACAATTTTGGGATACTGTGAGCTTTGTCTTGGAAACAAAGGTACTTGTGTTATCTAGCCTCCATAGAGTTCGTTGTGTAAGGATATGATTCATTGTGGGGTTTATCCTTAGTAATCGATTTAGCCTGATGTATTCTGGAAGGATATGAAAGCATGTATACTGGTATGCCACAAACTCAGGAAAGCTGCAATCACAAGTGCCTGTATCTACTTCAGAACTTCTTTCATTATCGACCATGAACATGAAATTACTGCTTTCATATTTGACGTAGAAATAACTTATCTTTTTTACTTCCATTAAAACTGCCTTGCACAAAAAAGGAGTAATCTGGCGAACAAATGGAACAACGCATGATGCACCATACTTAAAACACTGGCTATTTATTATATTTTCTTCAGTAGTCCTCCCTGTTGATGTCATGGTATTACTATTGGTAGTACGTTGTTTTATGGATTTGACCAAGTCTTCAACAAAGGCATTGAAGTTCTGTATAATGATGTCCCTTAAAGAACGGATTACTTAACAAACAACAAGACAAATTGTAGTCTACTTTAGTGAGAAACTTGATCAGCTGGCTGAAATTGCCTTTGAAGTCAATCTCAAGATGAAATGTGCACAAATCCTACGCTTATTTAACTTCCAACTAATTATGATTGTTCAATTAAAGCTATACGACAAGACAATCAATTGTTCATTGCTTATAAATCAAAGGTCGTTGATATATTATTGTTTGCTAACGGTACACTACAAAGAAGTGAAAAGCCAATAAGTATTCGAAAAGATTTTGCGATTTTATGCAAGCAATCGAACACTCGAACATTATAACACCTAAAAATCATGTAATTCAATGGACACCCAACCAACTCACACAAATTCGAATGCGGAATAACCCCGGGTTCAAGGTCGTTGAAATGGAATGGCGGGTGACTTTGAATGAAATTTACGCCTTTATCGTGCACTCATCACTAGGATGCCTTTATGCTGCGGTGGAATCGGAACACCTAGAGAGCCGTCTGCAGAGGAAAATGAAAAACTTAAGACTCTGGTAAAGTTTGATATTTTCCGCTTAATATTCTCAGTTAGAAAGCAAGTTGGAGTCTCATATCGGACGGAAACCTCGTTCATTTGAAATCGTCCAGATCACTAGTCAGGTAGTCGCAGGAACCAATCACTTCGTCAAGGTAACGTTTAGGTTCTCTGCTTACCGAAGCTTTACAGGTGAAACTAGACAATGGCGAGTATATTCATGCTCGAATTTTCGAACCGCTACCCTGTCATGGCAAAGAACTTCAGTTACACTCTGTCGTTAAAGACAAAAAGGAAAGTGATGCGTTGGAATATTTCTGAAACTCGATTTTCATTCCCACCACTTGTTAACTTATATTCCTGTCTTCTATAATTTATTAATATACTTTTGATGCTTATAAATATTTTACTTATGATATGTACGGTTCTCTGTATTGGCATCCTGATTTACGCCCCTTGAAGATGTAAATGTATAGTTGTTGACCTGTAATCACGTGATTGTGGGTTGAGTGTTAGGTCCCACGTATCCTTGTCTCATGAGACAAATAGAAATCTACAACATATATCGACTTTTTAGCGACCCTAAAGTGACTTTGAGAGTATCCACCTAATAACTAAGATCAAATTAAGATTATAAACCTGTATGACGAATTAGAAATATGATTTACAGTTGACAGGGTTAGGAATAAGATTTAGAGTCTTCATCATAAACTGACATTAGCTGTAATGTCAAGGCGTTATTTTTCCAAATGGATGAATGAATTTCGCGACGAAATGCCAGACCTGTTACCTGATTGATCCGTTCACAAATTATAGTGCCGACGGCCTTTTAGAGGAATGTCAATCAAATATTTTCGAGCGTTTCTAGGATACCGATGATATTAAGAATTATGCCGTGATGAAATTAGTCCCAATAGTTGTTTTGGAACTATTCCTGTATTTCATACTCAAAAGGTGTAGATGAACTCTATCCTCAAAAGGGGTGTTTTTACATGTACGTTCTACTGGAAGTGAATAGGACACTTTTAGGAAATCACCCAACTGCGTCACAAAACAAGCACTCACATGGAATCCTGAATGTCAAAGGAGAAGAGGAAAACCAGAGAACACATTACGCGGAGAAATAGAGACGGACATGAGAAGAATGAACAAAAACTGAACAGAACTAGAAAGGGATGCCCAGGACAGAGTGTGTTGGAGAATGCTGGTCGGCGGCCTATGCTCCATTGAGACTAACAGGCGTAAGTAAGTAAGTTAAAACGATATCTGCGTCAAGTGTGAGTATAGATTATAGCTACACATGTAACTTAGTTTTGAACAATTGCTCTGTTTTATATTTCGAATCGTCGTATCTCAAACGTTATGATAAAAATGAAAATGATCCTAACAACTGTCGCATTTTTATGCTGGAAATACAATTCAATCTGTTTTTATATTACTTGTCTGTAGAACGACTTAACTTGCGTGTGAAGAGGTTGGATTAAGAGTGTACATGATTCCTACCTCAAAGAATGTTGAAATGACTAGCTGCTACCGTACTATTACTCTGTGAATGAAATGAATATGATTCAAGTAGAATGAACAGTGGATTAAAAGTAACTAAAATTCGTAGATTGACCGTTTCGTTTTCGTCATCAATATCAGATTAAATTCATCTGTCCACAAGATAACCTTTTTCGAGTTACGGTGTCATATATTCAGTAAAACATTTGAGGTCGGGAAACATTGTGAATTTTCTCAAGAGACATTAAATAAACGGTCGATGATTCGGACAAGTTTTCTGTTAAAATATTTACTCAGGTTAATATGTAAATGAAATAGTCTTATCTTTCAACGATTATTTAAGAACAAATAATATTCTCATCGGATTTGTGAAACGATCAATATCAGACTACTACCCTATACCGAAATAAACTATGTCATATTATAATTTTAAGTACATTCAACTGTGCCGGGTGTGAGGCAGTTACCCACCGAAAACAATGGAAGGTGGTCGTGGAATATCATGGATTGATTTTAGTTATACATTAACACCGTTGAATGCCGGCTTAGTGGTAAAAAAATCAAGCGTTCGCGCGAGATGAAAGTAGGATCCAGGGCGCGCGTTTCGTCTTATTTGGGACTCATCATTTAGATGTACCTAAATCTCAGAGTTTGTGTCCACCCTAGGACTCGAACCCAGTACCGTTCGCTTCAAACGCCATCGCATTATCCACTCAGCTACTGAGTCATGATAGTCACTTGCTTGTGCAATGAGGTGAAGTTTAAATTCACTTGGTATTGTTTGTTTAAATCTTCCTATTGAAACATGCGTGCTGGGTTCCACTGTTAGCCGCTATCTATGTTTGCTTAAAATGCTCGTAAATTAAGGCTAAATCGAGGTGATACGCACAGTATGCACATATGCCAATAAGAGACATCAATTGCAGTCCTAAAACTCAATGGGAAGATTCAAACAAACAATACTAAGTGAATATTATCTTTATTGTTTTGTTTAAACTTGTAAAAGAGACCAATCATATGAAATTTGTTTCAAATTTGAACGACAATACACATTCCCAAGAAGGTTAAAAAAATAGTAGTAATGTACTATAACTGGGATAGAGTTTTAATTGACAGCATTCCGCTTATCATTTGTACATCAAAGTTTTAGGATGAAAACAATTGAAATAAACCATAACAAAGAATCAGAATGGGTTTTTTGTGGAGATTTCAGTATTTTCATAGTTAAAATCATGAGTCAATTGAAGCTGGACCACCATGGAAAACCTGGAAGCATTGGACGGCTGTTTCGTCCCATTGTGGGATTCCTCAGCAGTGCCTGGGTTCGAATCTCGCGAGGCGGGATCGTGGATGTGCACTGCTGAGGAGTCTCCCAAAAGGCCGAAACGTCCTTCCAGTGCTTCTAGGTTTTCTATGGTGGTCTAGCTTCAATTGACTCATGATTTCAACTATGAACATAACCAAGAAGTCAATATTTTATTCGAAGAATAATCCTTCGGTTAGTAAAGATTTTAATCAGGATTATAAATCATAGAAACTCCTTGGTAGATGGATAATGTTTATCTGGTGGCGGATTTATATCGAGTTCACGATTGTGAAGAAACTATTTTATTCTCACTACTTATGAGATGCATAAACAAGATTCAAGTAAACCACTGCAAATGCATCCTTCATTTGTTTGTCCAAAATCTTGGCCCATGTATACTTTAACCGAACACTTAGCGGCCCAGAGCGGTTGTAACACTGATCGCTTATATCGTTTATTCACTATTACGTTAGAAAGCTCCATCAAGGTGAGAAAAATTTTAGTGCAAGGCAATGTCTCTTCATAATAGTCTTCTACGCATCGACGGTTTGCAGAATGAATGGAACTAAAAATGAGTTCTATTGTCAATTAATTAATCTCACTAAAGTGTATTTAACGAACTTTATTGTGCAAGTTGTACAGTTGGATAAGTAGTTCAAATGTCTATTTTTGGTGGCAAACAGAGACTCGATGGTAGCAGACAAGACACTGCTAATCGCCTTGGGTATAGCATAACACGTCTTTGACCAAGACCGTCTTCCGACAGTCATTGACTGAGTGCAACCTCCCTGTGCAACGTAAGCGTGGGCTCAGATTATGAGTGTTCTATCACCTTGGAATAAAGTGATCGTTGTTCCGATTTTAAAAGAGGTTTGGGGGATCTATACAGCAATAAACAGGGTATAAGGCTACTCTCGATCGCTTCCAGACTATTGAGCTTCGCAATGGTTCACAGATTGTACAAAAGCCAGGAAGAGATGGATCGTGAGAGGTGGGCTGCTTTTCGTCCAGATCCTGTATGTATCGACTACTGGTTCATCGTCCACCGAATCCTAAAACGCCACCACACTTATCGCAGACAAACAATTATTGTAATTTTTGAGTTCATAGCTGCCTCCAGTTGATTGGATGGCTCTTCGCTATTTAACTGTCTGTTAAAGAATGATGTTTTCTTGAGAATTGTATCAGCATTTTTGAGGTTGTATGCACAAACAAGTTGGGCACACGACCACCTCCGAACATGGTTTCATTTGAACAGTGGAGTTAGGGAAAGTTGAATAATATGACTGTTCATCACCAACTTTGCCATCGGTTACATTCTAGAGATAGCTTTGCGATGGTGGTGTAAATCTGTCTTCTTGATAAAGACTCTCGACCTCAAGTATAGGGATGACAATGAACTACTGTGAAATGATGCACAAATCACCCAAATGATCATCAGTCAGTTGGCGGTCAGTCCCATGTAGGTATTATATGTACTTACACTTTCGAAATGCTAAGTACTGATCCCATGACCTAGTGGCCGGAACAACCCTTTGTGATAAACTATTTTTCGACCCGAGAAAATGTATCAATATTCAAGGTGATCTGATGAGTGAGATTGATCTGTATATGATGATCTTCAGTGCGTCTTAAGTCTCTCTTTATCAAATTTATTGCCGTCATGAAAAGTCTGGTAGTAAAACATTTGGTCTAAAATGTGTCGTTGCGAGGAGTTCTATACTATCCTTCTGAAACCCTACTATCTGAGCCAAATGTATTCGACCCTTTTTTGTACCTAATCACTGCTGAAATCCAATTATAGCACTATGTTGTGAACGCTGGGCCTTTGCAGTGTATTTTCAGGTTTAGTAACGATAATTTAATTAGTGTCACCATCTTGGAACACCGACTTTGGTGGTTTGGATAGGTCTCACGATTTTCGTTTCAGGTAATTAAACAGCATGCACTACCTACAGACTCTGAGAATGGATGTAAAAAGGAAGACTTGTTCTTTCTATACCAGTGTGCCGTGGTATTAAGAATAACTCTATACGACTGGCACCTGTAGGTTCAACACAACTTATTATTTGGGGTCTTAGATATGGTGCAACTCAGTGACTTGAGTTCTTCCCAGACGTTGTTCAGAACGGAAGCCAGTAGTGATCCTGTTGTGACACCTTTATGTATTGGTTTTAAAATCTTATTCTCCTTATTAGTATTTCATTCGTGTGCACATTCTTTTGGTGACCTATTGTACTATGATTTGTGTCCTTTAAATGAATAAATAAATAAATATGTTTGACTTCTTGGATAAATCGTCTTCCTGCAAACAACTAATCATAAACACACTTGTATACTTACTATACATGGGATAATGATAAACTTAGTCTGTTAAAATTGATGAAATGGGATTCGGATTTGCAGACTATAAGTTGAAAATGAAGTTTTTCAATCAGTTACCCATAGCTATAAATAAAGTCCATCTATGTAATCAGATAACAGTATTCATCAAACATTGTAAGCAAAGATG